GAATTTCAAGCACAATTCTTCACAAGTACACATGAAGTGTTATAAACTTACAAAATGTACGAATTTGCAAATTCGTACTGCTCTTTCAAACATTTGTTACAAATACAATATTTATGAACATACAAATTTTTACGTTTTCGTACATTTGTTATGAATTCATAAAAGTATATCTATAACCACTTTACGAAAAATCTTTGAATTCGTTAATCTTACATTTACGAAAAATGTATTGATACTTAAGGGGGTATACTGAATTAGGAGGTCTAAAAAAAGCGGTTTTTCGTGAATTTTTTTAGGACGGAAAAAAATAGTAAATTCTATCGAACTTTTTATCCTATTTTCATACATATTTGAGTAGTCTGTACAAATTTTTTCATCAAGAAATATTCAAACTCAGTTGACTGTGCCGCACATTTCTAGAGCACCTCACAATTGAAACCTCCCATCGGCGGGAAAGATGCAGGTCGTAATTTTGGTTTGACACAAAAAAAACCAAAAGTAACGTTCATTTTCATACATTTTTCTCCTATGTGAACTAAGAAAAACCGGCAAAAATGGTGAAATGTGAAATTACTGTAAGTTTAAAAAAAAAGAACAAGTTCTTTGGGTGAAAAAAATCACTTTAACTCGATAAAAAAGTTGTTTAAAATTGTTTTTGTATGAATTTTCTTAGTTCACATACAAGAAAAATGTATGAAAATGAACATTTCTTTTGGTGTTTTTGTGTCAAACCAAAATTACGACCTGCATCTTTCCCACCGACAGGAGGGTTTAATTGCGAGGTGCCCTACATATGTGCATCACATTCGACTCAATTTGAATATTTCTTCTTGAAAAAATTTGTACAGACTACTCAAATATGTATGAAAATAGGATAAAAAGTTCGATAGAATTAATTATTTTTTTCCATTCTAAAAAAATTCACGCAAACCCGCTTTTTTTAGACCTCCTAATTCAGGATATCCCCTTAATTACGTAATCATGGTTACGAAAATGTAATCTGTAATTGTAATCGAAGTAATTGATTACATAAGCAAATGCAATTAATTGTCCCCAATTTCAATGTAAACGCATACATATAAATAGAGCTGTACACAAACCTACTTATGCAAATACAATGGTTCATTCGTATCTTATACTCGTCTATTGTGCCTAATACGTTGTGATAGTCACTAAATTCTTACTCTACAGTATTTTGCATTTGCTTACATAGTTTGTATTCTCTGACATCCCCATTATGGATGCCAGTATTGTATTATCTGGGGCCTACTGCCCCCTATCCATAGCTCGGGCACCTCGGGACCGCTAGACCCGTACTATAGCTGTGATCAAACAATAGCTACAGCCCCTGAGGGTTATCGAAATCTATATGATAGGACTCGATATCGCATATAATATAAAACACACACACACACACAGTACTCGTCCTCCATTAATAATAGAAATGTATGCACTATCGTTAATAAAATATCTCAAATAAAATTCTATTTAAAAAAAGAACGGTAAAGGTATGGAACTTCACATCACCATATTCAGATATTACGAGCATCGAGTGTACTTGACTAGTTATATTTACATATTTGAATATTCGATTTACACTCGCCGAATATTTGCACCCATCGGAGTGCATTCGGATACAGAAAAAATTCAACCAGAAATCCGAGTCCTATCAAGTATAAACGTGAAAGAAAAAAAGAAAAAGCTGAAGAAATGTTTTACCTTTCTTTCATAGTCTACGTTCGGCACAGCCAGCCAGGGTAACTCGGAGACGTGCGCACGAAAACTTTCCTCGAAATCGAGCACATCGGCTACATTACTCCATAGAACCACGTGCACGACCTCGAACTTTTTTCTCCTTTCTTTGCCAGGATTCTCCGCGTCCGTGTGCGCCGAATTGACATTCGTATAGAGTTCGAGCAGCTGACGCGTGAAGTCGTCGCAGGTAGCACCGGGGTTAATAAAACTAAAATACACACCGATCACCTCGCAAGTCGGCCGTCCGTCGTCGTCGACGAGCGAACCGCTCGCTTCGCACGGCTTCGTGTCCTGTTGATTAACCTGACTGCACCGCGACAGTTGTTTACCGAACAGTCTGTGTTGCCAACTGACCGGTTTCGCGGTGGCCGCAGGCGACTTTTTCGTTACGTTACCCGAGGTGGATGATGCCTGCTCGCTGTAGCACGCGGCCATCGCGCGTAACAATTGGCCCGCTTCATTCACCGGCGACACGCACCGACGAACTTCACGTTTATCACACAGCTTATAAACTCGGAACGTCTCGCTGCCCCTTGCCGTCAACGACTGATTCACGTTTCGCTGACTCGCGAGTCGCGAGCCAACGACCAATCCCGAACGTTTTATCCCGGCCGAACCCGACCGCCACCGACTCGTGCCGATGAATGCGCGCTCTTTCTCGATATACAGGGTGTCCCAAAAATGTTGTAACACCTTGAAAGGGGTGGTTCGGGAGGTGATTTGAAACAACTTTTTCCTTAGCGAAAATGTTGTCCGAGGCTTCGTTGAGGAGATATTAACGGAAAACACTGACCAATCAGAGCGCGAGTATGCCGGTGAAGCGGCCGCGGTAGCGTATGAGCGAAGCCGTCTAGCGCGTAGTTACGCTCCAACGGTATACGCGCGCTCTGATTGGGCAGTGTTTTCTGTTAATATCGGACAACATTTTCGCTAAGGAAAAAGTTATGTCAAATCACCTCCCGAACCACCCCTTTAAAGGTGTTACAACATTTTTGGGACACTCTGTAAACGTATCGAAGCCAAAGAGATTATATGTATTAGATAAAGTATCATATAGAGGCTCTCATATGAAACCATATACGTGAAAACGTAAGATGCGAAAAAAGAGAGAACTGATCGTTAGAGTATCTCTGTTTCTGTCTAAGTTGCGTGCGCATCAGAATGTTAAGACTTGGTGGGGGAAGTCATAGACCGTTTAGGACAGTTTAGGATATGACATTTCTTCTCAATTCGTATTCCCTCTCATCAATGTGTGTTACTGAGCAAGCGTGTTAGAGAAGACAGGCGTGCACGCAATCTTTTTTCTCTTACTATTCGCGTTACACTTTTTCGTCTGACTTGCCTACTAGGCAGGCAGAAGTCTATGTATGGACGAATGAGAGGAAAATCAGATTTGAACAACGCGCGCAGAATGGTAGGTAGAAGCACTGATGGTATGGAAGGATGAGAGACGACCGAATAATAATAGGCGATATGTAAAAGATGGCGAATCACTTAGTAGTGTAACAAGGAATGTAACCCTACCTTATCACTGGAATAAAGAAGCAAAATACGCAAAATACGACTTGCCTACTCCATCTATTACATATGTATAATCTCTTTAATCAAAACTATCGTTTTTTTCCTTGAATAAAATAAGAACGATTGAACGTTACAAAGCGTATATGCGTGTATTGAATGATACCAATTTATGTACTTTCCATTAGATTTTCTATTCGTATATTTTTCTTGTATGTAATTTGTATTTCATTGAGCAATTGTTTTTTACTATTCTACCAATGTATAATATAATTTGATGTATGTAGGCATTATAAATCAGAAACTAAGTTTCAAACAGGAAGTAGTAAAAGAAACAAAACATATGAAACGTTCGCATTACGTTTGTAATGTACGTTCACTTAATTCATTGAATAAAAGTGAACTACACCTTATCTAATAAGATAAACTCTGGTAACAAACCACGTAATATGCAACATTAGAAGGTAGACATACGTAGACATATCGTTCCTTCAAAATAAAGGTAGACTGGATGTAAACAACAAATCGTCATGAGACTAAATTCTCATTGATCCGCTATGATAATTAAAAATTTTATGAACGGATTTACTTCATATTAAAATAAAAAATAACAAAGTAACTTATACGAGTATGTATGGAGAGTATAATCATCTTTAATACACACTTGTCGAAGTTACATGATTTTATTTACATGAGCTCTCTCTTTATACGCCTTATACTAAACGGAAAATAGATGAACTTCTCGATACAAAATAAACTCGATCGATCGTGTCAAGTTGAATCTATTGAATCTGGTTGAATCTTGAATGGCAGGAGTATTGCAGGATATTGGTGATGTACCATAACCTATACAACAGTAAAAATTGTAAATATTAGGACGTCGCAAACGTGTCATTTAATTTAAAGACGATAATTTAAATATGGATATGTTACATTTAAGAAATGTACTTACTGTTACTTTTCTATGTTAAATAATTCGTTATCACTTTCTAACCTAGTTTCGTATGATTGTAAATAATGCTTACGGAATTCTATTTTTATACGATTATTTTATAGTTTAAGGATTTTATACTTCTGTACAACCAAATATCTGAAACGTGTTTCAAGCGATGTATGAATACATTTCTTTCGAGAGAAATATCTGTCGATGAGGTATGATTTGTAATAAATTACATTTGCATGTAGTTTGTCGCTTTTATATAATAAATATTATGAACTAGTTGTTTTTAAATTCTGGAATCTTGTAGGATGTATGCCTAAGAAAATGTTTGGAAAAACACATTAATGGAAATCACAAAATGATGGAAATATTTATGGAAATACAACCTATACTTGTACAGAAGAGGATAGAAGAAGTTCAAAATGCTCAGGCAGCTTTAGAATCACAAATAGAAGTGCAAAAAACAGAGTCCTGAGAAAATTATACAATTGATTCTACATAAATTATTCAAACTTTCCATTATGTATGTTTTTTCGTTAACTAAAGAACTTTAATATAGTTCCTCAAATTGACAAGTATACTACATGAACATTTTTAATTGTATAAATAACGTCTACTCATTATTATCCCTTACCACTTATATTAATATACCATAAAATAATTTTAAATCTGCTAACAAAAAAATCAGTATTCAGAAAATATGCAGAAAATTGCATTAATCATTTTTTCATAATTTTATTTTTAATTTTGAAGACAATGTGTGGACATAAATGATACTATTAGATCGTAACTCTGTACAAACCAAAATATATAAGCAGTCATTTATTATTAGGAATTTGTATACACATAATATACACACAATAACATCATGATTAGGAACATAATACATTAGCTACAATACATTTTACAAATCAAAAAGTGTTTGAATTGCATATTTCATTAATGCTCATTACTCAATGTTGCTTTGCATTGTTATTTTTAACTAATAATATAAGATTCCACTTTTATTTTATTACAATATCCTTTTATTGGTTAAACGCCCCTAATAAACTTTGTTGAACAATGGAATGTATTTCCTCTATTATCATAGCAAAATATTTAAAAAATTCATTAATGGTCAGAGATCATTCATAAATGAATATGAATCACATAAAACTTAAAATACTATTAGTATGTCATAGTTTATAAGTTTTGTAAGTTCTGCTGTTCCAATGATGAATGTAAGATTTATAATCATAACAATTTGCAGGAATTTTGAAAATGCTGTGAATTTCATGTATATTTCACATGTGATTAGATTACACATATTGTTTTACATACATTAAAAGATTTACATCATGAACACGTAGGAAGAATTTCATTAAAAAAATTATGAAAAAACATATTCATGATATAATATTAATAGATTAATTTTTTTGTTATATTGTAATTTACTATCAATTTTAATGTAAACTATGAGTGTAAGCAACAAACAATTGTGACAATATACATACATTTACTTCATCTATACTAAAAATTGTCTATATATGAAGCGTAATCTGTGATATTTTGGTACAGACTTTATGTACTCTTGATTTGAAGAAAAAAATTAAACACAAATAATCTCAGCATACATGAAAATAAATATAAAACATATTTTCAATTTATTGAATTTTTAACAATTCGCTTAAAAAATATGACTAGTTTGTTCAGCTTTTCAAAAGTTGAACATTTCTTTTTTTTAAACAAATATTTTCAATAGAAAATAATTGCATATAATGAACAGTTAAATAAATTTATATTCTCTGCAAAATAAATCATAATGACACATCAATCATTACATTTTATAATATTGCAATTAGTGTTACAAATGTAACTGTTTTGCACATACATATGAATTTTTGTTACAGCGATAAATTAATGAATATGAGAATGTTAATTAATAAATTATTTTATCAATGAAAATTTTCATATTAAGTAAATTCACATATAAGCAGTTTCTCATGCATATTAAAAACGAGCATAAGAAAAATATTTAAGTTAATTCAGAAGTATGGTTATGTTAAGTATGGCGTTTGAAAACTTATTTCGTTTCTGAATATCTAAAGATAGTTAATTTCGATATAAAAATAATCAGCATGTATCGAAAAAAGATAATAATGCTGATATCTAAATATAACTAAAATGTATAAATGCTTCAGATCAGAAAATTGGAAGTATTAAAGTATTTGCTTCGGTACTCTTCTTTTGTTCAATGAAATTAAATATGTTAAATGCAGTACATAAACAAAGAATAGATTTGTATTCCGAAAGATTACCTTGAATGTACCATAAATGAAATTCAATTGATACATTCAATATTTAAAATGGAATGAAAAGTACAATAAAGTACCTATGGATTTCCAGCCATCAATAGCGTTTTCTTACTAGCATCGGGAATATATCTATTTTTTTGGTGCAAAATGTAATATAAACAACCAATTAATACTGTTTTATACATATTGTAAAATTCAAAGCTCAGTTTATCGTATTTCATGTATTTACAATTAGTACTTCTCTAAGAAGTTAGATATAAAAATTAAATATCTATTGCCTTTATGGTTTTGTAAGCATTACTATCGAATAAAGAGAATCTTTACCGTCAACAGACATATTCTTAACTGCTAATAATGTTGCACATAAGTAATCATATAATTAAAATGCACTGATTGTTTTGATGCCATATACCTGAAAATGGCCAATATTTGAAGTATAATTTAAAAAAAAGTCAGTCTGTCTTTATGTTATAATTCATTCCTGCCTCAAAAATAATTTAAACTGACAGAAACCGTAACAACAGTGTTGCCTAACAGATTTGTAAGGATTCGAAGGATGTTCTACCTTTGTCACATTCTGTTGTTTGAAGAAAAATTCGTATGGACGAATGCATCCCCTTCTTTGTATTCTTCAAAATAATTGCATTTACTTCTTCTAATGTAACTACTGTTCGAGCCACGATGGTAAAGACGAATTTGGAGATTTAACTTTTATATTAAATTGCTTCAATGTTGCTTCCAGTGCAGTTTGATTTCCAGAAAAGTAGGCAGATACTGCATTATGGAACAACAGTAGCTGTTTATGCATTACTTTGATCTGCAAACAAAATACAATAAAAAGAAAATTATTTTTAACATTTCGAATATTTAGTTCGAAATTGTTTTCAAAAATTAACGAATCAAACAATTCTATTAATTTCTAAAGATGGTTTCGACTTAGAAATCGAAAACATTAAAAGTAACATGATGTTTGTTAAGACCTTTTAAAACGTCTATTTTATAATAAAAAGAAATTCCTGATATTTAAAAGGAAGATAGAAAAACAAATAAGAACGTACCCTGTTCTCATCTAAAAATTTAAGTTTAATCGAAACATCTGAGCGTAATTTCTCAAAATTTTGTTTATGTTCTTCATAATTAGCTTGTGCCTCTTCTAATCTCGCTGCATTAGTACCATCAGATTTTGTTGCTTGTGCTAATGCTTCAAGATCTGTCCTATAGGCATCGTATTCTATTCTGTAAAAGAAATTAACATTTTCAAGCTATTAAAGTTGTAAGCTGCTATATTTAATATTTTTTGGCGTTTATCGCTCAATTTAACATTACCTTGCTGTTTCATATTGTCGTACTGTTAGCAAAGTGTCCTCAATAGTTTTATTACAAAGTGTGTTTACGGAAGAAACAAAAAAGTTTAAGGCCCCTAGTAGTGTTTCACCATTTTTAGTCAAATTTCTTTGAGTTTCTGAGTTATATAGAAACTCTTCTTGCAACTCTGGAGATTTCTGTGCTAATTCCGAAAATGCTTCCCCAAGAGCATGTTGTGTTTGAACAACATGATGAAAATGAGAAGCTAGTGCTCTAGATAATCGTAAAACATTGGAATATTTTCTTTGAGTGTCTCTCAATAATTCAATTTGCGTTTCCAGCTCTGAAAATTGAACAATAAAATTGTAATAAAATTACAAACAATGAAACTGAAAATGAAATTATTGGTGACTCACCAGAATCAACTGTACGAGACGTTTTTCCAAGTTTTTCATACATTAACTGTCTGGTACACTTGTAAGTTGAAATACTCCAATTCTTAATGCTTTCAATTTTACTCTGAGCTGTACGCATTGTTTGAGTATCACCATTTTGAATAGGTGTATTTGGAGATACTGTTACCGCTGTTATATTAATAAAAATAGTTTTTTATAACCAGTTTTGAAATTAATTTTTAGTAATGTATTTGTTATAATATCACTTAATACTGTTTATATTACTTACATGTTTGTGACATAGGACTAGACATTGTTAAATTTATTGTAGCTGGTCTAGTTTGGCTATCGTTATTACAATTGTTTGGTACATGAGGCGGAGGAGTTTCACTATGGACTGCGTTATCGTTATCATTCAAAGACGGAGCATCTTTTAGCATTTCATGAATACTTCGCTCCATTCCACTCGATGCAACACCTATAAGTGAGATTTAAGTTACAAATAAATCATATACAATAACACAAAGTGTTTAAATAAAATTAACTTAATTGAAAACTTCCATAAAAATAATAATTAAAAATTTTGAATGGATAGGAATATGGAAAATAATAAAATATATTATAAGAGTACTAAATCTGATTAACAGGCTCGAAGTCACCAAAGTATTACTGAAATGTACATTGGAAAGGAGAAGTAAGATTGTTATCCAGATGAAAATATTGTACAAAAAATTACTGTAACAATAATAACGATAAATTTCACAAAAAAAAGTCAAAAATTTGTAAAAAGCAGAAAATGTTTACGAGAAACCGCCATTTTTTTATAACACTGAAGTCACTAAAAATTGCTACATGATGCACACAAAAATGTTGTATACAATAATGATGTATTAATAATCTAGCGCATTATAAATAGTTACATTTGGATACTTTATTAGCAATGCAAATTGTACAAATGACAGAAGCATTAAGAACTGTCACTTGACACCTGTTTTAAAATCGAGTACGGTTAGGCTATCGTTCGTTAATAAATTTCACTGGTATGCCGTTCGAGTAGCTAAGGATTAAAAATCATCACGCATAAAAAGTATACCATTTTAAGTCACTACTTACTGATGAAATCAGAGGGTATAAGTAATTTCTATTATTGTATGCTCAAAACTTCAGAACGAATTTATAGAATGTTTCATGAGAGGTTGTGAGAGGTGCAATTCACGAAACTAGGTGGCGTAATGCAAATCTTCTTTGGAAACACCCGAACCCTACACAATGAATGTGATGGGCAAAACCCTAGACTTCGAATAAATCTGAAGTTTGCCGATATATTTGTCTCGTTTCATCTTTTGAACACTTTCCAGAGAAAGAAACGAGACAAACACATCGGCAAACTTCAGATTTATTCGAAGCCTAGGGTTTTGCCTATCAGAAAGAAACGTTATTCTCCGTCATTTTCAGTCATTCTACTCAAACATCATACGCAAACTAAAAAATAGGAAGAATAGAATTGTATGATACTTCTTACTGATTTTTTAGGAACAACACCTGCCAAGAAAGTCTTATCCTCGTCAATTTACGATAACATCACCTCATGAACGAATCCTTCAAAGATTTAGGGAAACTACATGCCTTTGAATGCTGATATAAATATGGCACAAATTGCAAATTCGACTGCCTTATCTGATGTTACTTTGATCAATAATAATGTATGTGCTGCATCCACTTTGAGCAATGATCATCAGAAAAGTACATCACCTTGTATACTTCTTCAATGTCTAGTCTATCTCGTATTTCACTCGACTCCAGAGATTCGCATGATGGTATGAATTTACACAAAAATTTTAGGATCTAATCTAATACCTGATTAATTCATATAAGATATAGCTTAAATACCTTTGCCACAAATCGATTATAAAAATCATTTACAATATTTAACAAATCTGTGGTTATTACAGCATATTAATGTATTTTATTCTTTACACATTTTTTTTTTATTATTAAGTTTAGTATAAACTTACAAATATAAAACAACAAAAAAAGAAGTACAAAGTATCTTAATATTAAATTTACTCATTTCTATCCTAATTACTGTCAGTACAAAAAATATATAAAAATCTCAAATGAAGTAATATAAATAAGAACATATATAAGGAACATAAAATAACAAATTACGATTCACTGTTAGGTAAAAATGTAACAGGTTACTGTGATTACATCGTAATCACGTGGTTTTTGTTTACTCCACTTTGTTCAAGTAACGTTTGTTCTATAAACGTTGACAGTGATATGAACGGCCAAATTAAATTTTTGGTAGACAAAATGACGGTTCCACAAACTCATCAAATAGAATTAATAACACTGGCAGAATTAGCAGGAATTTCAGCAATTCCCGGAGTTTATCGGTAATAATTTACAAAACTAATAAACATAACCTTTACAACTTGTTTTGACAACTGCAATAAGATAACCGTAGAGTAATATTAAAATGTTTTGACATTTTGTGATGGGTGTTATCTTGAAAGTATTTGTAAGGTTATAAAATTGTAAGACACGTAGTATACATTAATAAATTTACGAATCATGACAATAGTTACAAATACCTAATTTATCATTATACTTTTAGTATTATACTGGAACTTTTGGAACTTCAAATATCACCAGAGGGCATATACATTATTTTGAAACAAATATATCCACAATCATCAGACAAACAACAAGGTATTAACAATGTTGAAGAAGCACCTGATGAATTAACCACACATTAAAGTGTATCTTTCTATATTTGATTGTTTAAATTAATTTATATCTTTTTTTTACGTCATTACATAATTATTAGAGAAAATCATTAATTATAAATGAATTATAAATAAAGTATAAAAATAAATAATAATATTTCTTACATGATATCTTCAATATTTTACACAACCTGCTCTTGCCAATTTGTCAGCCATTTCATTACCATGAATTCCCACATGACCATTGACATGTACCTAAAACATATTGTTAAATAAACATTAGATATAAAATATGAAATCAAAGTCTCAAATATTGATAAATTAATTTTACAGGATACCAAGATGCACCTTAATATTATACATTTCTTTAACAACTTGTATGTACATACTACCACGTCTTTTACAGCTTATGTTTGTAAACATCGATGGTATGTTATCTATCATTCCTAATATTCAATGGATTTCATAGAATATACTGTATATTATTCTTACCCATCTCACAGTTAAGGACTTGAGAGCCTCCTCCATTTCTAACAATTCAATCTTATTTATAACAGGTTTATTGGCTAAAGTTTTCCATCCATTAGATTTCCACTTTGGCATCCAATTGTTTATACACTTAATGAGGAACTGTGAGTCTGTGTGTATTTTTAATTTCTTAATGCCTGCTTCTTTTGCTCGTGTTGCAGCTACAGCCACTGCCTGAATTTCTGCCATATTGTTAGTAGCCCTACCAACAACTGGTTGCGATACATTCCTGTGATCATAAAGCTCTTTCAATACATAATAATATTAGCTTAACAATCCAATGTAATAAAATCATAATGAAACATACATAGGATGATCATCGCCAAACCAAACACCTATACCTGCTTTGGCATTTCCATGGCCATTTGAACTACAAGCACCATCTGTATACACACTCACATAACCTTCATCATCCATACCATAATCTGACAATTTCTAAAAGATTAATGAATCTAATGAATGCAGTTAGTCTAATAGAGTGCACCAATAATGTGATCATCTTAATCATTTCTGATATAAACTAAACCAATTCAAATTATTTTTACAAAAGAAATTGAAATAGATTACTATCTGTTATGAAATGATAGTCAATTCGAAAAAAATACAATGTTTTTTAACACCTTTAGTTTTGGAAAGCTTATAAGTTGGTTATAGTACATAAAAATACTTGCTTTCCTTTGATTGCATCCAGAATTTGGAATACTTTGCATGTTTATTAGTTTACATCTTTTTAAAGATGGTCGTGTGTTCACAACTTCTGAGGGTTTTCTTTTCAATTCTGGCCTAAAATGGTTTTGAAATAAAAGTTCTTACTATTATATATATTGTACAATTATTATTATACCTTTTCTTTACTATGGGTGTACTGTTGTTGCTATTACTTCCTCCACTTGAACTGCTATTTTCTTTGATAAATTTTTCAGCCTCTGCTCGCGCATTAAACTTTTTATACACAGGACCAGAATACTGATGAACCTGTGCCTTACAATCGTCCCTTATTTAAAACATACAATTGGCATAAAATAGAGTAAAAATTATATATTACAAAATTAAGACATAAAATTTCTTTACCAAGTATTGTAAATTCCGGGTGTGCGGCCTTTAGCCACTGCATAAAATGATGGTGCCATATTTCTCAGTGTCTTAAATAAAATGCGAGTTACATTCATATATTATCCTACAACAATTGAAATACAGAATATAAATATATATTTATCCATTGTTTATTTACAGAAGTTGACACGTAGACATTGGTTAACCTCACCAAATACGTACATATATTATTAAAATACGAAATTATATAATCCTGTACAGATATAGAGAATGTAAAATCGTAGTCTTCATCCAGGAAAAATAAAAGATTTGTAAACAAATCAAGCGTATTGCAGATTGCAGTGTTACCAGTAAGTAGGGGGAGAGAAACGAATTGAGGAGAAATGTCATATCCTCAGATGTCAGATGCCCCTATGATTTTCCCTATCAAGTTTTAAAATTCTAATGAGCACGTAAATTTAGATAGGAACAGATATACAGGGACTTCTATGACTCCTCTACTCTATCTATATAATCTTTTTGCCCAGAAATCATCTATTACCCCTTTTATTCAAACTTCATTCTACTGCTAATAATACTACTTTTTCCATCGTTCTTCAAGTTCGTGGTTTGTACTACATGTCGAGTATATAGTGTATACTCTATCACTCCTTATTCTATGGCTGTAATCGACGCATGTGGTGGTGTGCGAGCGAGTACGAAACTCCTTCGGAAAGCCTGTAAAGGAGTTTCCTCCACGTTTTTGGTTTTGACAGGTACATATTTGTATACGCCTCTATTAAATACTACAAAATAATGACATAATATATTTACAACAAATTGGGCTCACTAGACACGCGATACGTTTATGAAATATTTTTCTATCAGCATATTGTATCGGTAATTACGCGAGGTTAGATTCCCATAATGAAATGAGGGATAGTATTTGACCATATTACACGTTTTGATTAAATGTAAATATATATGAGTATTTTTGTGTAAACGTTTATAATTATATTATTATTTTCTATTTTATATTCTGGTAAAAAGGTGACTATTTTTTTTTTTTTTTTTTTTTTTTAAACAAAATATCTGTAAAACATATGTTAAATTGTTTTTCATTGATTTTATAATGTTCATAATTTTAAAAAATTGACCGTATTTCAAACGGAAATTCAGTTGTTTTAGAATACAATGTGCTGAGTAGAATTTATGATTATCTAGAAGCTCTTTAAATCATTAAAATTTGGTTAGAAAAATATTTAATAAATATTTTTGTATTTTTTGTATTTTTAAACAATAATTACTAATATACGATTAAAAATTATGTAGTTATTACGATAAATTTCAATTTTGATTATCTTAATCCAAGTACTTTTTGGATATAATTTTCAGGCAGACAGATATCTTATCATCATGCCACCAAAAAAGTCAATGGAGGAAACGGATCGTTTGACTCGCATAGCTATTGTCAACTCTGATAAATGTAAACCAAAACGGTGTAGACAAGAATGTAAAAGATCTTGTCCAGTAGTCCGAATGGGAAAACTTTGTATAGAAGTTACTCCAAATAGTAAAATAGCTTCTATTTCAGAAGAATTATGTATTGGATGTGGTATCTGTGTCAAGGTAAGTACATTTTTAAACAGTACTAATATTTATACATACAGATACCAAGTATATTGATGTTACAATAATTAAGTCAATTTAATGATAGCTAAGTTTATAATTGTTTAAAAAATAAATTGGTTTAATTATGTTCATAATAATTTATTTTTAGAAATGTCCATTTGAGGCAATATCTATCATTAACCTTCCTAGTAATTTAGAAAAAGAAACTACTCATCGTTATTCAAAAAATTCATTTAAACTACATAGACTACCTATTCCACGTCCTGGTGAAGTATTAGGTTTGGTTGGAACCAATGGGATTGGTAAATCAACTGCTCTGAAAATTTTAGCAGGCAAACAAAAGCCAAATCTGGGGCGATATACTGTATGTATATTTACAACTATATTGTTTGTGATGTAAACCAGTATTTCTCAATCTATAGCCTGTATATATGCCTCTTGAGGTCTGTAAACTTACGAGGTCATAAACTTATTATTTCTCTGATTAAAACAGGATCCACCAGATTGGACAGAGATTTTAAGTCATTTTAGGGGTAGCGAGTTACAAAATTATTTTACTAAAATATTGGAAGATGACTTGAAGGCTCTTATTAAACCTCAGTATGTAGATCAAATTCCTAAAGCAGTAAAAGGCACTGTGCAACAACTCCTAGATAAAAAGGACGAATGCAAGAATCAATTGGACATTTGCAAAATGCTGGGTAAGATAATATTAATAAACACTCAGTCCCATAAGTTTTATTTATATATATATTTTTAACGTTTTTTTTTTATCCAGTTTTCAGATCTATGAATAGTTGTAAAAGAAGTTAACATTATATTTTATAATTATTCATAGATTTGAAAATTCATTGTAAAAGACTAAAATTAGTATATATTCAAAATGAAACCAATGGAACTGCTTGTGTACAACTTGGGGAGTTACATTATCATTTTTTCTACAAGCAAAAGTCAAGCTTCCTTCATTTATTTTTAAGATTTAATGCATATACGCGATAGAGGCATTGATGCGCTTTCTGGTGGAGAGCTTCAACGATTTGCCTGTGCTATGGTATGCATCCAAAATGGAGATATTTTTATGTTCGACGAGCCCTCTTCATATTTAGATGTTAAGCAGCGTCTTAATGCAGCTGTAACGATTCGATCTCTTATTCACCCTGACAAGTAAGGAGTTGATATTTGTGTACATTAATCTGTTCATATTTAAAATGAAAAGTACTTGATTCTTTTCATAAAATTAAAATATATTAAAATTTAATAGGTTTATAATAGTAGTGGAACATGACTTATCAGTTTTGGATTATTTATCTGACTTCATATGTTGCCTTTACGGTGTTCCTGGAGCTTATGGTGTAGTTACTATGCCCTTTTCCGTGAGAGAAGGCATAAACATTTTCCTCGATGGATTTGTGCCAACGGAGAATTTGAGATTCCGCGAGGAATCCCTTGTTTTCAAAGTAGCTGAAAGTGCAACCGAAGAAGAAGTGAAACGCATGAATCACTACGAATATCCTGCAATGACGAAGACAATGGGCTCGTTTAGCTTGATCGTTGAAAAAGGTCAATTCACGGATTCGGAAATTCTCGTGCTACTTGGTGAAAACGGAACTGGAAAAACAACGTTTATCAGAATGTTGGCTGGTAATTTGCCACCTGATGATGGCTCTGGTGAGTAAATTTTAATATATACTACAAAGTGCAACATAATTTTTATGTTTCAAAATATACTCAGATGATGCAACTTATTAATTAATATAATGTTATCTTTTACAGGAAACATACCCCAACTACATATCAGTTATAAACCACAAAAGATTAGCCCTAAATCTCAAGGTATCGTCCGGCAATTGTTACACGAAAAAATCAGGGATGCTTACGTTCATCCTCAATTCGTGACGGATGTTATGAAACCATTGAAGATAGACGATATTATGGACCAAGAAGTGCAGAACCTTTCTGGAGGAGAATTACAACGAGTGGCTTTGGCTTTGTGTCTTGGAAAACCTGCCGATGTTTATTTGATCGATGAGCCTTCTGCGTATTTGGATTCTGAGCAACGTTTAGTCGCGGCTAAAGTAATAAAACGGTAATAGAAATCACTAATCGTACCCATTATTACGATGAATCACTGTTTTCAGTACAGTATAGTTAGGCATGTAATCAAGAAATTATTTCGATATGTAACGTCATTTTAGGTTCATATTGCATGCAAAGAAAACAGGATTCGTAGTAGAGCACGATTTCATCATGGCTACATATTTGGCTGACCGTGTAATAGTATTCTCTGGTGTACCATCCTTGTCAACTACAGCCCACAGTCCGCAATCTTTGCTAAACGGGATGAACAGATTCTTAGAACTCCTAGGCATAACTTTCAGAAGAGATCCGAACAACTTCAGACCGAGAATTAATAAGAGTCAATCTGTAAAGGTATGTCATTTTCGATACATACTGTTGGTCACATAATTTAACATTGACAATGTGGAATTTATAAATAATAGAGTTGTTACATTTTCATATAGATAAAAAATAAGAGTAATTAATGACACATTGTTTAGATAGTTTTATCGACGAGTCATAACTAAAATTTTATCTAGATACAGATTTATTTGAACAACGCCCAGCTCCGAGGATTAATTGATGTTTTTCTGTAAAATAAGTTTATTTATCATTTTTTACAGGACTTGGACCAAAAGAGAGCAGGACAATACTTCTTCCTTGAGGAGTGAGATGCGATCTCATTTTGATGAGTTGAATAGCAGCTTATGTGAAATACTGTTAAGATGTTTTTGTAAATCTTTATATGTTTAAAAACCGGGAATGGATTTCTTACAATATATTAAACGCTAGTGACGCATATTTTGCGTTAAATCGAAATACTATTGGTTTCGTCACAAAAGTTCTGCTTATAGGATATTTATTTTAGTAAATATACAAAGCGAATATCCCAAAATAGATGACAAAAATTTAATTCAAAGAGAAATGCAATCGTACTTTTATACGACGTACTGCTGCCACAAATTTATTTATATCGATCAAAATGCGTCACAAATCACAATTCGAATCTGACACAAACGATACAATGCATTTTTTGTATGAACAGTAATTTATGCCTGATTATGTGTAACAAATAAAAGGAAATTAAATATTTCAGTATATTTACATGTACATCTGCTATGCAACGTGAATTATAATACAAGTGAAATTTAAAGGAAAAATGGATTAGTCATTTGATAAACCTTACAATTAAATAATTTTATGATTTTTATATATGCTGCAGTGCAATAAAGAATTTATAATTGTGAAGAAACTGATATTAATGTATTTACATATGAGAATACATCATGATGATTTTTAAATAAAAAAACTATTGCAATCATTTTCTATTTAGCCGTAACAGTTTAATAGAAAAAAATATGTTTCCAATTAATAAGAAATATAATATTTATAAAAAATACAATCCTACGAAAATAAACCTTATTAAGTTGTGTAATATTTCTCTCTACTAATTTATTCATTAATTACATTGTATGTACAAAGCTTTTAGTTGAAAAATGGAGTTGTCAGGAATATTTTAAATGCCCGTTGGCATTAAGACGTCAGAGCAATTAATAACAAATAAAACAAAAATTATACATGACACTTTTCCTTTATGTAATGAAGGTATATTATCTGTACTGGTAATAAAATTGTTAAGAATTATATTATATTGGTTGTACTCCAATAAGTAATTTATAGAAAATCTTTCCATCAGGTAATTAATCACACTTGGAAAACCCTCGCCGATTTCAACAACCTTGTCGCGAATAATAAATGTTCATTGATGCAAACTAAAAATTATGCTGTCTTCCTGGTTGATATTTTTCAATTTTAAAAAAACAACTACGTCTTACGTCAGAACCACCAATTGTGTTTACTTCTGCAAAGTTTTCTAAATACAGAAGTTATTGAAAAACATTTCAAATGAAAGGTGTACTGTTTTTGGAGAGAATAATCTTTCAAAGTATTTCTTTTTTATTACTATGATATGATTTATAGACCTCGAGAAACAATACGACCTCTATTTAAAACATTTTTGAATATCTATTTACTTGTGTAGTATAAAGGGATTTTCAAAATAGGCTTTGAAATTTTCTCTCTTAATAACAAAATACATTTGTCAGAAACGACATCGTCTTTTACATTCAATTGCAATCACGTGCACTTTTATTTAAAATTAAAGAAGGTCAGGTACATTCTGTACCACTTGTGTTTTATTAAAAAAGAAAATTCTAAAATTCCTTTATTTTCCCTCTAAAGCACAGAACTATATAAATTTTAGCAACTATACCGACTTCTTTTTAAATAAATAACGCGAGTATTCGACTCGTGTCTTGCAGTATTTTTACGAAGAGACGTTTAGATAATAATAAATAATAAATAAAAAATGAGCAATTGTTTATCTGTTACTCGTTAAATAAAGATAACAATTTTAATAATAAGAATAATTATTTATCGATTAATGTCTGTTAGTGGAGTACTCTGGGGTTAATTACACTAATTACGGTTAAACATTTTAACCCATTGCGATCCTATGTCGAGTAAGGCCCGACAAAAAGTAACAATCAACAAGGTTTTGTATAACCATTAAATCCTTCTATACGTACACTATACTTACGCTATAATAGGGTGATGTAGTATAACGAATTCTTTTGTTTTACTAATCTTTTATAAGACGTCCACAATTATTAATGATTTGTTTACACACAGTATAACAATATATCAAAGTAACGTTTTTAAAATTGTTCCAACAGTAATATTATCAGATTACGCAATGTCACAAAGCCGTAATAGCTATGATAAGAACACATTTCCATCTATTTGGGTTTATAAATTATCTATGATTACATAAATAAGCGGTACATTTTATTTGATTAAGTATACAGTATATTTGATTAAAACGATAAATCTATCCGGAAGGAAGGACTTCCTTATACGATGTTTACTTCGTCTTGCCTTTTGCATTAATGCAATAACAATTAATTGTTATCAACATTGTTATTGTAACAATTGTTATTAGAGAAGTTGAATCACCTGTTTGATTTCGATTATAGAAAAACCAAAGTGACACGTTGAAGGGGGGAGGCACGTTAAGAAATTAAATATAAAGTTTTTTCACGATTTTCTTTCCAAAGAGAATTATTTATGCAATGTTTTTATAACTTCGAGAATATTTTAGGTAAGTTTTAAATTTATACTAGAAAGGCACTTAATATAGAAATATAATGAATATAATGAATGGAACAAAATTAACACTGTTTCGATTTAACGTTCCTTTTATCAATTCCGTGTCTGGACAATAAATTTAAAATAAATTCGTACAACATTATTACAAACATTGGATATCAGTTAACCAACTCTGATAAACTGTATTAGCGTAATTTACGATGATGCTTTCTTGCATGTAAATCGCTTATTTTACCTATTATCTAAATGTACAAAATTTAGCGATGTCCTCAACTCCACATAATTTCAATAAGTACACGATAATAAGTTTTGCAGCATGATTAAAATGTTCGCTAATTACCAGGAAATGCGGAACGATACATGGCTGCAATTAAATAACCACCGTTTATCCGTAATCTTGAGGTCACTAATGCGCCCAAAATCAAATAACGAATCGCGGTAAAGTTTAGAATTGTGGAAGTTCGCCGATGTCGAGGATCGTAGCTGTTAAAGATGGTTTGCTTTCGTTTCTCCCTTGTTCGCAGTGATTTTCTAAATCTAATACCATTTTATGTAGCACTTGCGACTCTTTTCGCTCAACCGTGGCTATCGTATTGTTATTGTAAGTACACTTTTAAAACATTTTTTGCTAAGCCATCTTTTTCTATTTATTACTATTATTACTTTCATATATGAAAAACAATTACGAAACGTACTTTGAAACATACCTAAAATATTCTCAAAGTTATAAAAATGTTATATAATATCTTCTCTGTAAAAAACACATTATCCGCTAAGCTATCTTTGGCTTGTGATTTTCACATTATATGTATCAAACAGGGTGCGCGTTTCTTTTTCATTTATCTAACTATTCATCTTTAGTTTTACATTTTTGAATACATATTCTCCCTCCTCCAGGTAGTTTGGCATCGTTGAAACAAACGTTTCAAGTGATAAAAATTAACGAGACTTAATTTATGTAATATACTTTATCGACATATAATTCTCATCGTTGAACGAGCCTGAGATTTTTTGGAAAACCGTTTAGAATCGAAAATTTTTGCAAAGCTATCATATTATTTTTATTTGGCTACATGATTATAGACAACAGGAACTCGAACTCCAACGTGTCGAAGCCGGTATTTTCCACGCCTGAAGAATGTGCACGAACATGCGTCGATGGCGAACCACCTAAATATTGTTACTACCACTTTCATATTGAATTCTACACAGTATATGGACCGTACGTATCAACATATAAAGAAACTATGTAGAAAATTTATCTACAACATTTATTTTATAATTTCCATAATAGTAATCGCACAGTACACCGCATAACAACGTCTGACAGTTTATTACCCATAACTATTAATTTCAGTTTTTCTGATTCACGTTAAAGTGTCTGCTTGAACTCGTGTTTACTATTAATTAATATTATTTGTGTATATATGATTGGTTTATATATAAATATATTGTTACAATTAGACGTCTTGGATGAAGCATTTTATTTGTTTTTTAGTGCCTGTGACAAACAAGCACAAATGGATCAATGTGTCCTCGCTGACATGGTTGAAAGAACATTCACATCCATTAATCGTCAATTACCAGGACCTATAATTGAGGTGCGTCTCACGTTAAACGATTCGATAATCGATTTTCTCGTTCGTATTTTTGATCATATAGTGAAACGATTATGCGACATTTATTTCATGCCTAAATATTCGATGCTCGATAACACATTGCTGCAGAATGTATAATATTTGTAAAATTCAAAATATTATTTAAACAATTTAAAGAAAAAGAAATCTTCTCACTAATATCAATCATTTCAGAATATTTGTAATATTATATACTGTACACATTGTCTTGGTTAAATTGTTGAGTCGGACTCAAATAGTAAGGATGGAATCGTTGAAATATATAAATAAATATAAACTATTATGTTCTGAATAGTCTAATAAATGCTACTTCTATGCAACGAAAGTGAAATAGTTCAATGAAAAAATAAATAAAATAGTTATTACATTTAAATTACAGTAATTGTTAACAAAATATTTACGTTATGCAGTTCCACTGCATGACTTAAAATTCCAAAGTTAAAGAATCGTTTCAAGGCTATATTGTAATCTGCGAAAGAATACGACGTTTGCTGTTATACTGTAACTAGATAATGCTATAATTTAAAAAAAGAAACTGTTGATTATTATGAAAATTAAAAAAATAATCCCAGATGCTTTCAGGTGCCCTGATTGTTATAATTCGATCTATTACAATTTAAATAATGCACGATCTACGTTTATTTTCTTACGTTGCTTTAGCGTTGGTTTTCTCTATATTGTTGTCAAAAAAGCAAAATTTAAAGTTGAAAGGAAACTAAAGTTCTATTGTTTAACAGGTGTGTAAGGGTGATTACATTATAGTCGACGTGGAGAATGCTACTCCAGGTACCGAAATTACGATACATTGGCATGGACTCTTTCAAAATGGTTATCAATATTACGATGGCGTACCTTATGTCACACAATGTCCAATTCCATCTTCATCGACATTTAGGTGAATATCTTCTGTGTACTAGATTTAGTTTTAGATGAAAATGCTTAAAGAAATTCTTAAAATGAGCTATTTTAGCGAAATCAGGATTAATGGTTCGACAGTGGAAGATTTAAAAATTATCTGAAATGGATTAATTGCAAATAAATTTCGTTTATTTTTTGCCATTTTATTGGAATTAGGTAAAGAAATAATTATAGTTCCAAACTGTGTTTAAGTGCATTCAATTTTTCATTTCGTCAATTTTAATTGATTGTAAATGGATTATAAAACGCGGCTGCGTGCTTATAAATATATGCCGGGTGTTTCGATTAAAGCGGAATGGTTCAGTATCTCGTCAGAGGATGAAGCTATCAGACAAATATTTTTTACAAAAGTTGCTTGTATAATAACTAAAGAAATTTAGACAAATTAATATTTCGACATAGTTTCCATTTACAAAGTATTTAAAAAATAAGATAAATTTAACGAAACCTAAAACTCAATGTACTTGAGCGTAATTCGAAATAATTAGCGATATCTTCAAATGGCGTATCGCATGTAGCGATTGTGTATACTGTAGTAACTTTTTCCGCAAACTAAACATTTTCTCAAACTTCCGCAAACACGATATTTTTTTAACAACGATTTCTCTGTTAATGTTATCTAAAAGCACTATGTTACTTTAGCTTGTTCTAGTAATAAGTGTTGTAGTTCTTTTACGTTTGAAGTAATACAAGTTGCTCTAATCAATAAGTAACTCGAAATTAAAATATCTCATAAGCGAATTGAACATATTATCGAGCATTGTTCCATCAAAAATGACATAATGTTTCAATTAATTTCCATACAAGTAGATGGCCATATTTAGCACCTTCTGCGAAAATTTAAACGAAACGCAAATTTTCATGAATTCATTTGATTGTTTTTAACTGTCAAATTTATCCCTCATATAAGTTCTGTACTATGTGTATATGTACATTAGAATATATACTCTGCAAATTCTGTAACACTATTTTGATAAAAGATAATAGAAAAGACTGTAGTGTTTTTATTATTACGCAAATACAAGAATACATTAAATAACCAAAATAGTGTTACAGAATGGTTAATATTAGTTTCAATTTTTAGAAAAAACAGTAACAAAACTCGTATAAAGGCTCGGTCTATACTTTCATATGTCTATGATAATTTGGCTCTAACATATAATGTACCAGTCTTGCATTTGTTCATTTCTTATATGTGATTCCTGCTTTGCATCACTTTACACTTGCACTTGGTTAGATAAACCTCTTCGTAATTCTCTTCATAAGCCCCATTAGGGATGCCAGAAAATTACGAAGAGAGGCATCTAGGCTACGGTTACTATGAATGCGAATTCGGACGAAAATGTGTTCGGACGAATTCGTTCAAATAAACAAACGTCTATTTTTCAATGATAGTGTTTACACTAGTAACGACACACATGTCAGAACATTCACGTCGTCGTTAGAACTAATTGAGCGTTCAAACAAGTTTGATTTGTTTGATTTGACCATGTGTGTCGTTGCTAGTGTAAACACTATCATCGAAAAGCAGACGTTTGTTTAATTGGACGAATTCGTCAGAACTCCCATCCATAGTAACCGTAGCCTAAGCAAATGCAAGTGCAAAGTAATGTAAAGCAAGAATCATATAAATGTAGAAAATGAACAAATATAAGACTAGTACGTTAAATCTTATAGTCAAGTTACAACACTTCGTAGTTTTTGGGGGACCCACTGGCCCCCTTATAGCTCGGGTACCTCGGGATTGCTAAACCCGTGCTATAGCTACAATTAAACATATGTAGCTACAGCCCCTGAGGGTTGCCAGGCTTCAAGCCAGCAATTCGCTGAACTTCGCCCGTTCACCTTGTTTTCGCCATTCCTGTACTAGGAGCTCAAAATCATAATGATACACATATTAACCCTTTGTACTTGAGGCCTTTTTTTCTGGTATCTACCAGCAACTCGAGATGCTTTCTTAGCATTTTGTTCCCACGAATGCTAAGATTATATTGTCTTTGAAAATCAGATCTCTAATTTGAGATTTGAGAATCAGGTCACCTTTGCCTCAACGACAATCATTTTATTGACATTTCGAGTTCCAAAGAAATTAATCCTTGGCACTTGGGTGGCGCCTCTAGGGCGACATATATAATTTAAAAGTGATTTTGTGAACAACATCAAATTCACTTACATCAGAATACAACTAATTATTAATTGAAATAATAATAGAAGTTTATTATAAAAATGGACTGGATTTGATTCTATAGAAAAAGGCCTCGAGCGCAAAGGGTTAAACCTAAAGAGAGCCTAGTGACGACCGAGAGTCACTTCTCGAGTGCAAAGAGTTAAGTGCAACACGAGAATCATGCTTTTGAATTAAACTGTAGAAAAAGATCCAAACTCTTTCCTGCTTTTCAAATAGTAACTACCTAGTATTTCATTTTTGTAGATCCATTTTTTATTATTTTGGCTCGCGTCACTGTGATTCTCAGCCTCTCGTACACATACCATATTTTTATGTTTCACGTTTCACAGAGAAAATAAATGTATTATACCTGATAATATATATCCATTTTTCGCCCTGTATAACAATTAAAGTTGTTAAACAAAGAATAAGATAAAATGATACAATTTTATGACGATCTCAGGTATCAATTCCAATTACAAAACGCTGGAACGCATTTCTACCATTCCCACATATCGACGTTTATGTCAGACGGCCAATACGGAGCTTTGATCGGTAAAGATCCAAAGGACCCTCACCGGAGATTATACGATGTGGACAAATACATAGTACTTTTAAGCGATTGGTTCCATTCATTATCGCTCGAACGGTATCCTGGTTTTTACAGACATGATCTAGGACAAGATGCACAAAACATACTTATAAACGGCAGGGGAAAGTGGACGGTAAGAGATATATTTTTTTTAAAGCGAATCTTGTTGGTATCTTCCGTTAGATTCCCCTTTCCCTATTCAAGTATTTGTTCAAATGCCGTATGCCCTAGTTAATTGTTAAACCACGCGGAGTGAGACTAGTTGAACAGATTAGAGAGGTTTTATCATTTATCCTTTAAACCTTGCCAATCCATTTCGTAATAATTAAAAAAAGAAAGTCGTAGAATATAAGTCTTACTACCGAGGAGCTTATTAAAGTGACGTAATTGTGCTTAGGATCCGGTTACCAAACAAACCAACAAGGCACCCTTGACGGTGTTCGAAGTTGAGCAAGGGAAACGATACAGGTTTCGCATAATTAATTCGTTTAGCACGGTGTGTTTAGCGGAATACAGAATCGAGAACCATAATTGTACGGTAATCGCTCAGGATGGTGCGAACGTCAAACCTACAGTAGTGGACGCAGCAATTACATCAGCAGGTCGTGTATCTTTTCGGGAACATAATTTAATAAATACTTAAATTCAGCAAAGTACTATTATTTTCTGTGATAAAAACAGTAATTAAAATTTATGTACCTACATATATTGTCGTAATCGTAAAACCATATTATATATCGTCAAATTATATATCGTATATATTATATGTATATATTATACGATATATAATTTGATCATATAAATTACAACATTTATTTATTATATAATATAACTGTATACTGTTTTTACGATTACTACAATATATTTACATACATCAATTTTAACTACTGTTTCTATTATAATATTTTGCTTTTAGTGTTTATTAAATCTATATTTTTATACGCACACATATACATACATATATCTGTACTAATCACGTTGTACAAAATTTACAATTAGCGTAAATTTATTATGTAATACACGTTAATGCATTATAAATGTAATTTACATGTAGATGTAGTATACGTAATATTTATTATAGCATATACATATCGTAAACTACATTTACAATACATTAATATATATTACACGATAACTTGTCGCCAAATACAAGTTTTATACAGCGCGATTAGTTCAAGGTATTGAAACACTTATAGAGTTATTTCGTATTTCGAATTTTGAACAAAATCGGTTTCTTTGTTTTTGTTTAATTCACGTTCGTGTACAGGTGAACGACTGGATTGCGTAATACACGCGGATCAGAAGCCGAGATCTTACTGGATACAAGTACGCGGTCTCGGGGAATGCGCGGAGAAAAAGGTTCAGCAATTCGCCATTTTAAAATACAAGGGTGCCCTTGAAACTCCACCGACGCCTCAACCCTCGTTCGACAACCCGCCAAAAGGTATTGTAAGTATTACTAACCGTACTAAGTACTATTAATCTAGAGGGGACTGAAGAGTCCACTTCAATGAGAATTTACTTTATCCTTGTTGCAAATATGTCAACTTTTCAGATGTATAATCCGTTGGACGGATCCAATTGCGGTACACGTGACACGAGCAATTCAGTATGCGTCAATCAATTGGAAAGCTTGGAAGACGAATCTGAAATCTTACAATACGAGCCAGATGAATTTTACATATTGGACTTTTGGTTTTACAATTACACTGACTACGGCGACAGAAATTTATTTCAAAAAAAAGATTCATACCCCACCTATTTCAGTATGTACTTTTTAATGAATAATAAAGTACCTTCTTAAAGTATTAAATTAAGTATTAGCGACTGTGTGGTATAGTAATATTGATGTATTACTGTACCATCCATTAAGGGGCGATCTATTAGGTTGTCCCAAAAGTTTCTTTCGCTTTATTAATAAGTAATACAGGCACAATAGTTTATGTTTTATGTTACGTTACTGAATTGTGCACGATTCATTTTGCTCCATTACTGTTACAAACATGAATATCTATGAAATTAGATTGTCTATTTATATAAACACGATGACATAAAATAATTGAATGCAACTCGCGAAAGAAACTTTCGGGACAACCTAATATGTTGCTTGTTAATGTTATTTAAAGCAGTAAGAGTTAAAAGAATGTGCTCGGGTGTCAATGACAATAGTGTGAAATTCGTGTACATAAATATACTGAGAGAATTTTCTTGATTTCAGGTGCAAACGATCGTTCTCAGCTTACTTCAATGTTCAACGATGTTACATATTTATCGTCATCTTCGCCTCTAATTTCGGACAGAAGAAGTTATGAAACTATATGCAAGCCCAACCAATTGAGCAATTGTGTCGAACCTTGTGTGTGCACTCAAGTTATTCATACACAACTTGGAAACGTCGTTGAATTGTTAATATACGACCGAAGTAATATTTAGTTCTTTCTACATATAGGATCTTCCAAGAAAGCTAACAGAATTTTTAACGGGAACCAATCGAATACCCTGTTAATTACATTTAGACTCCTAAGTTTATTCAATTTTCGTCATTTTGTAAAACTATCTTGAGTTAAGTAAATATGGTATTCATTACAAATTTGTTTAGTGTTCAGTAAGAAATTGCATTTCAGTACCACAGGCGGACCTCCATCATCCGTTCCACATACATGGTTATGAATTTAAAGTTCTTTACATTGGACAGTTTACGGATGGTAGAAACATATCACAAACAGATGTAGATAACGTAATAATGGAACATCAACAACGTCTTAAACAGGGAGTGTACAAAAATCCGCCTGGTAAAGACACTGTTAAAATTCCAGTGGGCGGATACGCATTTCTACGTTTCAAAGCTGATAACCCAGGTAAAATATTTCATAATTTTAATAGCAAATAAAATTTCAGTATTAATGTATATTAAGCCAACAAAAAATTCTTCGAAAGAACAAATGGAGCAGATGAAAAAATCTGTGGCAATACTGTTCCGTAAATTTTGATAAACTCAAGTCATTTTAAAACAGTGTTTGCCACCTTATAATTAAATGTGGTTGGAAACTAAAATCTTTGACGTAGACAGATGAGAATAACTTCAGCAAAAAAATTTGGAAAGCTTATATTAGTAAATTTACTATTTTCCTCGGATGCTATACTTATTGTATTACTTGATTTAATTATAAAACAACGTATTATTTAGCGTCAACAGCTAAATAATCGCATTTCCATGTTATACATTTTCATTATAGGATGGTGGTTACTTCATTGCCACTTCACCTGGCATCATGTCACAGGAATGGAATTGGTTATCCACGTAGGAGACAGGAGAGATTTACCGAGAGTACCAAGTGATTTTCCGGAATGTAGCAATTGGAAACCACCATTTCAAAGTTTGAACGACTTTTATGGTGATAGACATCGGCAATGTTAGTACTTCGTCGATGTCATACTAAATGAAATGTATACCATGAAACTATAAATATGTACATATAATGTGTGTTAAAAAAATATATCATGTTTTTAAAGCACTATGTTTCGTTTCGTATTAACAATAACATTTATAAACATATTTATACAGGGTGTCTTATAACGTGACGACCTCAAATAAATCGTAAGGTATTTGTTGTACGACAAAATGTTTCAAACAAAAGTTGCATGGTATCTAGGCGGACATACAGTGCTGTAATCTGTTTTTCATTACCTTACTTTTTTATCAAGATATTAGGGTTACCTTCAGTTTTTTAAATGGAATGTCTAATATTTTTTTTCGAATTCGGATAAATCATCAAATTTTGCGTAAAAAGTATTACATGAAGTGGAACTTCAAACTATTATGTTCTGAATAGTTTAATAAATGCTACTTCTATACAACGAAAGTGAAATAATTCAATGAAAAAATAAATAAAATAATTATTACATTTAAATTACAGTAATTGTTAAAAAAATATTTACGTTATGCAGTTCCACTGCTTGACTTAAAATTCCAAAGTTAAAGAATCGTTTCAAGGCTATATTGTAATTTGCGAAGGAACGTTTGCTGTTAATTACACTATAACTAGATAATGGTATAATTTAAAAAAAAAACTGTTGACTACTATGAAAATTAAAAAAAGGAAATAAATAGTATTCCTCGTGGGTGAAACCGCGGGTCACAGCTAGTATCATATAATATTTCATGGGAAGGGATTGAAATTTATTCAATTGAGCAGATGCTCTACTTATTCTCTACTAACCATACGATGGTAATTAAACTTACATAAATAATCAACAAAAATCTACATACAAAAAAAAAATATATATATATATATACAGCCAATGTCAGTTCATTTCGAATACCATGTCTGGACGTTTATTGTTCCCACAAGTAGGAAAATCTAGAGGAACGGGTACGAAACTCTCGTCACTTCCCACCTTTAGTAAAAATTGCATAGCGGGACCAAACATTCCTGGAGAAATTGCCGTGCTTCGTGCTTCCCACAACCAGTATCCTGCAATTAATAATTAAATTAACTAAAGTTCCATACATATCTTCTTAGATTCTATATCACAACGATAGATCCAAATAATTTACTATTTCTTATGTCTTCAAAACTTTGAAAGTTATTTAGATTTTATGTTTCTCGTGGTTCGCCCTGTACAAACGCGGAGGACCTTACCGAAATTATCCGTAAAGAGACGGAGAATAACGTAACCTTTGTTTGGAACAACGAAACTATCTTTTTGAGGTGGATCTATCAAATTACGGTGCAATTGTCCGTTTTGGTCCAAGTACTTAATCTCCTCTCTGGTGATTGCTTCCTTAAAATTGTTTTTTCCAATGATACTAGCACTGTAGCCGTGTAAATGGAACGTATGCGAAACATTTCCGCCGAAACCTGAAAAGTCAGATATTATGCAAACGATTGTTTATGCATTATGATTTTATACTTGCTGAAAAACTCACCCTCGTCTATCAGAACAATATCGATGGTACTCATAGGCGGTACTTCGATTACTTGAATGCATTCACAAAACAATGGTGAATCGACGCACTCGTCCGAACGTCTTTCCAGAGAACAAATTGATTCCTCTTGTATATTTTCTGGTTGCGATAACAACGGGGATGAAGGATATTTGAACGACATACCATTAATTTGCGCGACCCTTGATCCTTCTTTGTTTGTACCTACAATTAACAAAGTGTAAGCAATGCTGATGCAATTACCCATATTCATCATAATTCAAAAATAAGTTAATTTTAAAGTTAGCACTTAAATTCCTAAATCCTATTATGTTTATTTAATATTGGTTCTTGGTCCTGTTGTTATACTCATAAATTGATTTGATGGTATATATAATTAATATATAGTTATATAATTATATAATAATTAATATAATTAATATAATTTAATAAAATTTAAAATAATAATATAATTTTAAAGTTAGCACTTAAATTCCTAAATATATATATAAGTAAACATAATGTAGGATTTAGGAATTTAAGTGCTAACTTTAAAATTAACTTATATATGTATAAAATATCAACAAATATTTGTTTAAAAATGATTTAAAAGCAGATACGAAGTTCTCCTCCAATATTTTCATCTATGCTTCTCTTAAATAGAAAATCATTTACAAATCACATTCAATTATATCGCATTATATAATTATAGTCACAGATAAATTCGAACAGAATACCAAACAGATACACATATCCTTACTAAGATAAGAGGGGTAGAATGCACATCCGTAAAAATGGTATCTGTTGTCGGTCATCTCATCCGTGAACGAAGGGAAAGCGTTAACGTCGAACGGGATATAAATAACTTGATTCGCGTTAATCTCAGCCGGCATTCCCTTCAATCCTTTTAAATCCAACGCACAAATGAAATTCTTGGAGATTTCGTGACAATTGAAGCCCTTGTTCGCAATTGCATCGTCATCGATTTTCAGTTCTTCATCTTTTACTACAGTGAACTCGTTGTCAGGCTGTGCGTCGTTGTAAAGAATGAATGCTTTCTGACGAAGATTTCGACACTCTTGCAAGCCCCTTATATCGACCAAGTATTTTCCAGGAGGTTGATTTGCTTTGACAATCGTATCAAATCTCTCACCTGAAATTCAATTAATTAATCGAGTTAGAACATTTTTACTTCTCGTCTTTCTACTTTTCAGTTCTATGTAATTTTTTCATCTCTGTAATCGTATCGATTTTTCTCTTTGTTTTTACTCTTGTAATTATTGAAGATGATTGTTATAATTATACATGGGTTGGTTTCATCGAGCAACACAGAATTAATTATTTATCGAGAGTACGCTTCACAGGTGTAATCAATCTTGACAAATTTCAGTTTGTATTTCATCGTTTTTTGCAAGATTGATTACGCCTGAAGAAGATTATACAAACTCATAACCATTAAATCAACTCTGTGTTGTTCAATAAAGTCAAAATAAAATATAAATAACAATTTATATTTGAAACAGTTCATTTATATAATATTGCAATAATGGGAAAAGTAAGGGCATCCGTAAAAACGCTTACGCTAGCCATTTTATTCAACAAAATTATACAAAGTCAAATGTACGTTGTATATCGCATAACGTTACAAAATAATATGTAAACGAATACAAGAAGCGTGGGAACATATTGTGAAAAAAAAATATATTTGCTCGACCACGTCTATACGTATACGTATAATTCTTCTCAAGTTTGTAATTTTTGTTCAAGTTATCGTTGTACTAAAAACCGAGATTTTATAATGTTAACTTATTGAATACAATATTCATCGAGATAGCTGATTCATGATTTTGTAATCAACATTTTTCGTGTCTCTTTGCGAACGTGCGTGTCCACCTGCAAAATGCATTCATTAATTTGATTCGTAGTTACGTACGAGCACGTACATTAGAAGAATAAAGTTGCACATACGATAATAAGATAAACTTTTAATGATCACCTTGATTTTCCCAGTTAAATCTTAGATAATGTTACCGCTATACGTCTTTTTTCTTTTTTTACAAGAAACTTTTATACTAACAAAACCAATGAAGTTTATCGATACGCCAGTATTAATATCGTAATTACAATCTATAGGAAGAAGAGTTGAGACTAGGGATATCAAGGCAGCGGTCGCAGTTTAACTCATACTGACCCGTATTCGAAATACCACATACTATTCTCTCGACTAACATTTTCTGCGGTTGATGCTTTCTTTTGCACAGAGACTCGTGTATTTGTTCAGAACTCATAATTGGGAATACAGGTTACCATTGATACTTACTATAAATCGTTATAAATATCCAATTACGGTTTTTCAGTTTTCGTCGAGCTCGGTGTTGTGACCATTAAAATCGAATATAAGATCTAATTATATTTTTTTTTTATTACTTATTTTTATGAATATCGTATCTATCAACTGTCAACATTAACGACAGTTACACTGCGATTTCGACAACTTTAATTTTCAAAATTATATCGTTACCTATGACCTATCTATTCAAATTCAAGGAACAACAACGAAACAACGCGTTAAAGATTAATTAACACACGATAAACCGTCAAATTTCGTGTACAGACTGTACATTTCGATATACAATGTACAATAGATTAGGTTTGTATTCAATTTTAAGATAGGGGTCGTTCAGAAGAAAAAAAGCAGTACACATGTGATGTTGGTCTTAGGACCAATTTTGTTTAATGAAAATTAAAAAAAAAAAGAAGAAGAAACTTACGTAGTAGAGATGTATCGTAAAGAACAAAATATTTAAGTAGATTACTTTAAAGTATATACCTTAGTCTTTAATAATCGCAAGTGAAGACTTTAGAAATGATAATACAAAAATATAAAATTATCGCAGAATCAGGAACAACAATGAATAACATTATAAAGACATGCACCGGAGATTGATAAATCATGCGTATACACTACATAACTATTAAAGGAAGACCTAATGTTCATGATATGAAATACGACACAGTCTTTTTACGAACCAAAGATAAATGATTTAAGAAGACATATTCTTTGTCTTTACGGAGGGAATTTGTTTTGATAAAAAATAGTTCGCCATTTATACAGCTTACTAAGTCTACTATTTAAAGCCCTGAAACAATACCAATGAAATACTTATAATCTAAGTCACCGTTGAGGCAGATTGTACCAGACACAAATGACGAACGATGTTATTAGAGAGCTAATCTCACGAAACTTCGTTTGATAAAATTAATCGGCAAGTTAATAATTAATAATTAACTTACAATCGGTAAACTAAGATCGTTCAAGACAATTTTTGTATATATATATATATAAAAAAAAAATACGATCATCAAAGCATACACCTCAATTTTAATACTTTACAAGTGAGAAACGATATTTGTTCTAGGAACTCAGTCACACTGTATTTTAATTAAGGCAGATAAAATAAAATAATAAAATTAGAGTATTGTATGGTACTACGATAAAAATTGTACGAAAAGATACGAATTCTCTCTCCAATTGTTACATTGAATTTTCGTCAAATGTATTCGAACAGTACTCGTCAAAAAGGTTTACCACTATACCGCGTGAATCATTTCCCGTTAAAACTGGCTCAAATGACACCGACATTTTGCGTATTTTACATCTAAAAATCACATATTCGCTATTTCTATCGAACATGAGTAACACCTCATTCAACAATTGTACACAAGTACCGACAATAGACCACTTAAAAAATATTCGATTAGTGTCACCGTGGGTAGACAAATAAGATTACGGGAAAACAGTGCCCTTTAAAATACAGTCTTTCTCGTGAATCGAAGCTTACGATTAGAACCGTTACGTGCATTTCGAGGTCTTTTCGATACGTAAAAGGCATTCGTGAATTTAAAGATAATTCAACATCTCCCTTTCCTCCTACAGATTTTGAAATAATCAACGCATTTACGGTACATACATGACTCCCTCACAGCTTCCATAACGTAACGAGGATTTCATCGTACGCAAGAACATACGAGACAAATACATTATCATACAACTGAAACGTAAAGAATTGGCACAAATTAATTACCAAATTTTTGAAAACTTTTGGAATCTATAATACTCGAAGGGTTCACGTACTCTTGCAAGCAACGCACATAAACATGAAAGACCACTTCGAGAAAGATTTCTTTAGCACTTTTGATTCCACGCAATAATCTTAAACGTACGTAGAGTATTTGTTTTGTTTGTCTTTTGTTTAGAGTAATTTTTAATTTTGTTCCTGGGGCCTTGAACAATTATCTCCCAGGAAGAGTTCCAATTGTGTACAATTATCAAAAAAATATAATATTAAGTGTAAACAGTTTTCTTACTTTATAATGAGCGGTACAGTAAATGGTATTCCGCTATTTTAATTTACAAATGCAGATCGTAAATTACGTCACACAATGAGCTACGATAACTCGCGATCTTTCATACTTCATCGTACGATCTTATCGTCGAAGTTTCGCGCCTCGAGGAAGGACAAATATGCAATTCGGTTAAACTTTTCAACGCGTTCCGTCTAAAATCTCACACCTTTAACTTTCGTTAAGACTATCGATCATTGATTTTAAGCTTTGCATAACATTCTATGACTACGTAGTACGTACGATGATTGATGCGCCACTTCAGGGACATCGTTCTTTTACTCGAGTAACTGGACCATGGAAAATGAGAATCCCTTTATGTTTAAACAAGTTTCTGCCAATGTTTACATGTTCAATGATTCCATCGTCTTGGTAATCGTTAGACTGCGGATTTTTATGCAAAATAAAATCTTTTTAAATGTGCCTACAAAAATTGAACCTAAATAGGAATTTATTTTATTCTGTAGATATTATAATATGAACTTTACTTTCAATCTTTTTTATATTCTTGCATATCGTATGCATTTTGTAGTCTCTTGCACATTCAAATTTTCTATAAACGCATAATGATCCGCAGTCTAGTAATCATTAATCGGTGGCAAACATCGTATTGTCACTTCTCGATCAACTTTACTTTAAAAATCAACTATGGTCCTATAGTAAAATTGGAAGTGCTGTTAAAATCGGTTCTGCATTATAACACGACCAACCAATTTCAGCTATTACAGATTATTTTCATAACGTTACAACAAATATTTGCACCTACTGTCGTCGCGGTGCGCTAATTAATATTACTTATTCATTTCAATTAAAACGGAACAATTTTGTCTCTTTTCAATTTTTCCGTTTTATAAACTATTTCCATGCCAACGTTAGTAGTGATCATCCGAGTCCATCTTCTTGACAAGTTAGTTGATTCGAGCAGTACAATGATAATGTTTTAGAGTTTTCAGTTATACTAGGTGTAATTACATACGAAAACAGTTAAAAATTGATGGCATGCATACATTGAAGTGTTGGTGTATACTTCTTAATTTCGAAATAAACATATAGACAGTATTTCAGCAGACTTAGCCGGTAGATAAAGTATCGAGAGCTCGATAATGTTGTACGAAACAATGCTCGAAGCGTCTAGCTTGTCAAGAAAGCTCTTACATCAACGCAAACGGTGATTCTCATGGTATTTTCATTCAGTTCATTTCTCGAAAAGTCGTACGGGGAAATCGTACCGCGAATAGTACACAATTTCCGTGGCTGATACATTTCACCACGGTAATCGTCGTTCGTTCTGAGCATTGGAATGTGAGCCGCGGAGCTACCAATCGAAGCGTCGGAGTGTCCCTTAATTGCACTTGTTAGCGACGCGTTTGCGCGTAAACGCCGATCTCCGCTTCGAAAAGGATTTGATTAATCCTGAGCTTCGCGACGGACCTCGAGTAAGAATCCGGGATCTCCGCCAATTGGACGGCGATGCTCTCGGCGAATTTCGCGAACTCCTCTTTCGTCCGTTTCCGTTCATTCGACTGGACCTCGAAGTTCGTTTGGCCGGTCTCGTCCAAGTCGCCGATGGGGCTGTTGTGATCTTGCAGCGAGCCATTGTAAAGTTTCAACGCCTTCAAGCTCGACGATGACGACTCCTCGGCGTCCTCGCTCAACGAGGCGTTGAAGGAACCAGTTCCCGAGCCGTTCGTTTCCTCGTTACAGTCTATAAACGTTATGCTCTCAGGATCGATGTCACTAACTATGTACTCCTCCTGCAACTTCGGTGACTCTTCCTCGACTTTCTGCGGGAATAAGACATTTTACTTCGCGTTAGGCGTCGGTGAACCCCATTGTAATGGTACGTGTAAACGCGAGCGAAACCCAGGTGCTTTGGAATCCTTCACAGAGGCATTCGGTCTTTTAAGGTGCAATGCTTGTGTTAGCTTTCAGACATTTATTGTTCGCAATGTTCGATATGATTTATTTTACGTTTCCGACTGTTGCTGAATACAACTTTGAGGTGCCCTCGATTTGAGAATGCAAACAAATGTTGCCCTCTGTTTTGCTTTACATCTTTGGAGAGGATTGTGGGAAATAAGTCATGGAATTTGATGCGATGACTTGGATATATGAGAGTAATAATAACAAATTGAATGAAGTATTCTTTCGATATTTTTTGCAAGCATTGTTAATACCTCCCTCTTAAAGCTTAATAAGTTTTCTCTTTCCGCGAATTTATTCTGATATAGACTACATGCAAAGGTCAAAAGGTAAAAATCTATAATTACCTACGACTTTACCGTACAGGGTGGACCAAGTAAGTGTAACAAATCATAACTTCATTACCAATGCTACCGGAGAAAAATGTTAAAGGAAGAAAATGAATGGTTCAATAAGTACTATATTCGCTGGACCACATTTTTCTTATGAATGCAATGGTGCATGTGCATTCGATAATTGCATTTTTTTTTTTTTTTTTTTTTTTAACGCGAATGCATATCTTTTTCGCATAGATTAAATTCTTGACGTTTTTTTACATAATTGTCGTCATTGAACAAGATGCTCCAATGATTCCCTATTACATTCTACAGTAACTAGAGATCACTTTCATTTAATAATGAAAATTAAAAAGCATTGTACAAAATGTGTAGAATGTAACGAAGAAGTTTTTAACCATTATTTTTAATCAAGACAATTGCTTAAAATTTTTCATGAATTATTGATGTTGTAGCACTTTAGCTCAATAGTTTTTTAACCAGACTGACGAAAGGATTCAATTTATGAAGAAAAAGGATTTGTATTTTTATTTACAAAAAAAGAAATTCAATTATCGAATGCAAACGCACTATTGCATTTATAACAAAGTATGTACCTGCAAATATACAATCTCCTTGAACCATTCATCCTCTTCCTTTCTTCTCGACATTTTTCTTTAACATCACCTGGCAATGAAGTTATGAGCAGGTCCACCCAAATACAAAAAGAACCAATCTTAAAAATCATTACATCTTTCAAAATAATATTATTAGCTTTTTATCGCGCAGGCTGTACCCAGTTTCCTTCAAATTAAATTTGCCTATAGAACTTCAGCGTTGCAGAGAAAACTCTGCAATCCCGACGATCGTGATTACTCGGCATACAAACACAATCGAATCGAATCACGATTCAATCTACTATAGTCCGTTCACACGACTCGGAATTAATCGCGTATTTCGATCTAAGGGGAAATTCCGCGTTGGAACTTTCACGAGCGCACATTTTCCCCCAAATAACAATGCCTGCATGTATCAGATTCACGCTTAATTAAGAAAAAGTACACGGATCATCCCGCCACGCGTTGTAATATAAACAAGCCACGGTCTATTTTTAACCCTTTGCGCCCGAGTGGCGACTCACGGATTCTACAGATTTTCATTGGACTTTACGGGGCAACTCGTGTGGCGACTAATTAGCGACAATTTTTATTTATGTTAATTAAAACTACGTTAAATCTCGAACCGTTGATAGCATAATGACTGGCATAAGCTAGAAGAAACTATATTCTTTTAAAGGGTGCTCTTTTTTTTTTTTAACCAATTTCGAGGCAATTTTCATGTTTATATTAGTATGTACAAGATTTTGTTTAATTTATAACTGTCCTATTCAATTTCTTTCGCAATTTCTTAATATAAACAAAAATTGTAATATAATTTGTTATAAATATATCAAAAATCTTAAGGTACAGGAATATAACAAAAATCTATTCTGTGACTTATATATATAAAGAGTACTCCCTTAAGAAGTGTAAAATGGTACAGCTAAAAATATCAGATTTTTTTTATCTGAAATTCATATTAGCTTAAATTCAACAATCATGTCAGAATATCGCTTTCAAAAATAGAGGATGAACTTAGCATTACACTGTTACAAGACGAGGCCAATTACATAAAAAATACAGAACTTGACGTTAAAAATTTTCGTCTTTCAAGATGGAAAGATACACAAAATATGAATATATAATATTTTTTATATGTCAGGCGTAGAAATTATTTCTGTGTCTCTGTATTAAATAATTTATAACTCTAATTTAAACAGATATACCTAGTCGTCATTTTGGAACATTAAAGTACGAATTTAGAATCTTCTAAATCCTCAATTTAATCTCTATTAGAATATATGTATACACATAACTTAAGTTCTCAAGCTGATGGCCATTGCAATGCATCTATATGAACTTTAGTAGCCACCAAATGTTGCTTATTGTTATTCTTGTACAATTACTGTAATTAACAAGTACACTTGTAACACACCGTTGTGTAATCTGTTTGAATAATAATAATTATTATTACAATAAGCCAAAAGGTATGGCTACCAAACTTTATGTACACATACATATACATACGTTGTAATGATAATCAGGTTAAGACTTACTTTATGCAATACGTGTATACATTTATTATACTATAAATTAGGTCGAGAACCCAGAAGATTAGTAATTTAATATATAATAGTAAAATGACAATTAAATATTTCCATTTAATCTAGACTTATAAGTGACCGAGTATAAAGGCACAGAATTAATTTGCACACACCTAATATTAATTTGCGAATAAAATCATTTTACGTTTTCCGTGATAAGTCTAAAGTACTAGTTCCCTCTAAGAAAATTTTCGTTGAACGCAAAGGGTTAAAATTGCGCAATTTTACAACAGTTGCGAAAGACATAAAAAAATATCGCAATTTACGTTATCGCACTTTGAATATATTATCTATCGCTACACCCAACGGAATAGAAAATAAACAAACAATGAGATTAAATTTTAGCTGCAACGTAGAGAAGAAAGGTAAAAGATACGCAGAGATCGAAAGACGATATGCGTATCTGCGCGCGTCGAACCGTCAGTTCGCAAGACTCCATTTTCGTACGAAGCGTTAGAAAAGCATCGTAAAGACGATGCAGCATGTGGTCAGAGTAATGCGTCGATATAATTTATTCCTTACGTGTACACGCTACTTTCGATTTACGTTGTTATTGCAAAATTCCTTGCTTGTTTTCCTTTATACAAACTGCTTTTCGAGGCTAGTAAAACAAATAAAACAAATTGAATCATTGTCGTTTAATAAATTATGCGTTGAAAATAAGGAACAATCTTCACTGCATCCAGACGCGAATTCACGTTGGGGTTAATAAGAGAAACGACGGGAGGAAGTTCCAATGGAAAGAGAGAGGAGAAAACGGAGACAAAGGCACTCGGCGTCAAACGAACAAAGAGCACGGGACGGAGAGAGGATCAAACAAAAAGAGGCGCGGATTGCGAGAAAAAGTAAGCGAGAACGATAAAAACAGACGAATGTCATCAAACGAGTGGCGCACGGGTGCACGAATCGGGCATGTTATGAGATCGATTCGAAAATACCGCACCGGCGAGATGAGAAATAATCGCGAAAAGCAATTAAGCGTTGGCCGAGCGTGACGCGTCGCTACGAGTCGAGGAAACACATATGTATAATCCCTGCAAGCGACGCGACGCATCGTTCAAAGCGAGAAGGTTCGTTTTCCACGAAACGCGTTCAGACACAATGGTCTTTCTCCGAAATCGGTTGGCCAATTACGCCCGGTTCATGTATGCTTGGCCTCCATATGATCGGGAGAAAGGAAGGCGGCAGGAACAGCGACGTTCGGTCTACTTACGTTTGTTAAAACGAAAGGACAAACGTTCCAGCGAGTTTCCACAGAATTAGATCCCCCGGCACAAGTAATTTAAAACAATCGGACTTGCATCGCATTCCTGCGAGTCGAATGCGGCACGTGGAAACGAGTTATCCGTCGCAACTGGGTTTCTCTTGCGACGCTGCACGAACACCAGAGACGGGCAAAGACCCTCGTTTAAATAAAAATTTCGAACAACGACCAACGGACCGCGATTCGATTCGAATAGTTAGAATTTTACTTACGGGATGAAATTAAATAAGAGTGAAAGTATCGACAATGGCTAGGTTATCATTAGATCATAGCTGATATGTAAACTACGGACTTTACGCATTTATATCACAAATATATGTATGCTAAACTTAACCAAAAGTTAGTATACTTATACAAAACATGATATTAATATTATTGTATTATATTGTACGTTTTCTGTTGTACTGTACTGTAAATGCATAAAGTCTGCCGTCTACTTATACGAAACACGAGCATGCTAACCGATAAACAAAGTTTCAGAATTCCTTCTCGTTTCTTTCCACACCCACAAATACATATCTCCAACGTTTCGTTCTCCCTTTATAGAATATTCTGGTTTCACACGACGTACGGATCAGATAAAACGTAATAACGTTTATCTGTATGCTACATCGACGATAAGAAGACGAAGCCATTGCTGGATACTAAGAGTCTTATTTAATTTAATCACCTCCGACATCTACAATCCCTGTCAACTCGTAAAAGAAATGTTTATTTCGCAATAAACGACCAAGGAATTGTCAGGAATCGATCGGCACGCGTTGTTTTTATTCGTCGCCTATTGCTCGAGTAAACTTCTCCCCTGTCTCTGGTATGCAAAATAGCGTCTCGCGTACCTTCTTTCGTTTGCTATATCTGCGTGTGCCGAACTGCAGGAACTGCATCGCCTTGAACGCGAACCACTTGGACACGTAAACATCGTCGGGCCCGGTGGCAGCTTCGCGGCTGTTCTGTATTTTGTGCACCTCCCTCGAGTACTGGCACTTGAGATTCGTGATTTTCTTCTCGATTTCGAGGGTGTTGCAACAGAGGATCTCGGCGAGCTCCTGGATGGCGCGTTTACGTTTCGCACGATCGCGATAACCGCGGGCATTCCAGTCCCAGAGAACGCGTCGTTGTTGATACTCGCGCAGCAGCTCGAGGGTCTTGTCGCGGGTCCACTCCATGGTTAAGCGCGTGTCGTTCGTTTCTAGCTCGTTCCAGACGTCGTAGTTCGACATGGAAACGGAAAACGGCGGAGTCGGACGGGCCGCGCGTGGTAGTGTGGCGGCCAGTGATGTTCTTTCAAGGAATCGCGGAGGAAAGACGGAGAGAAAACGGACGGACGGTGTCGTATTATGCAGCCGGCCGGTGGGTAGCCAGAGCGAGGCGGGTGGGTACGCCTCGTGTACCCACTAATAAATCGTAGACTACGAGCCGACAACGACGCCGCAGCCGCGAATCGAGCACGCGTTTTAATGATTTTTGCGCGAGACCCGCGCGCGCTTGGTCGCCTTCCTTTCTTTATTTCCCTTTGCGGAAACCCGGCGAGAACACGAAGACGCCCGAGTCTGCGCGAACGAGTCAGCCCACCGTGCACGCCGCATCGCTGAACGTATGAGCAGTGATGCCAGATTGTAGACGCGGGTCGCAGACAATTTTCCCCCCTCTCCGTACATATACCGACGCACGGGGCCGCGTGCACGCGAGCCACGACAACTTCGGTCACCTTCGGGAACCCGACGAAGAAGGCAAACTGCGAGCCGAGCCTTTCCTTCCAGCAACGAATCTAGACTTCGTAGGACCTCAAGCTACAGTGGGTCAAAAAAGTATTTACGTACTCGTTTCGAAGATGATCTGTAAAGTAGTACGTTAGTATAATCTATGTGTTTTGGTTCTTCGAGATACAGAGACAATACGTTGACTTAGGAATGTTAATAATTAAAAAAAAAAAAAAAATAAATAAATAAAAACGTTTGTAGTTCAGAAAGTATTTTTAGCATATTACATATTTTTTTACGGATTACTGTAGCCTCAAGAATCGCTTCTAGTCGTTTTGGTGTTCATTCAATATGTTTTTTCGTTGTAAAGTACAAAACATAAGTACAAAATGTAAATCCCTTTACATTTAATTATTTGTAATTGTAACTTAAACAGATGTATATACCCGCCATTTTCTTACATTACAGTATCAATATAGCAATGAATTCCACATGTTTTTTCTTGAAATGTGTGACTGAGGGAAAATTAAAAGCTGTATGGTTTTTCTTGACAAATAAATGGTAAATTTACCGTAGAAAGGCACACAATTAATTTCTACACTTACTATATTCGAATAGTATATTATTAATGTTTCTAAGTCAACATACTATATCTGGGTATGATGAAGCACCAAATGTATACTTGTATTCCGCTAATACACTACTTCTTTTCAGACAGTTATCTTGGAAACATTGAGTATGCATATAAACTGTACTTTCTTGACTCGCTGTAGTTAGTTTGAGGAGCCCCTTCCTTTCCTGAAATATTTTATGAAAGTTGAACGTTATCCTTCTGTTACTTCTTTAATCGATGCATTCACATCGCTGTACATACTTTCGCGACCGTGTCGCTAATACGATTATGGGATATTAGCACACGCTATTTCTTAAGCCTTCAGTGTTCAGAATTATGGTCTAAAAAAAAACGTTCAAAAATGTAGATACTCAACATTAGAAAGGCTAAAAACTTTTAATAAAATTTCTAATAAAATAGTACTTTTAGAATGTCAAATTATTTGCTCATATATTCGGCTTTTTAAAGCTTACTTATTGTCTTAAAGAAAGTTTACATTCAAATTTAATTTTTTTATGTAGATAAATTAAGAAAATAGATCAGAATTTTGCCCATCTCTCGACCCACAAAAGTAGACGGCTAACAGCTATGTAGAAAGTGAGAAGGAAAGACTCGCATTCGCCTTCTTTCTCAACTACCCGAAGTTGCCCGAAGTGCCGAGATCACGTGCACCCAGCTCGTTGTTAGTTTGCACGTGGAGAGGGAAATTCTCTGTAACTCGTCCTGAACCTGGCATCTCTGTGTATGAGCGCCAAGCAGTTTCATCCTTTCGTGTTCCCTCTCCTTCGACCAACCGTTGTTCGCTCTTCCCCCGCCCTTTCTTTTCTCCTTTCCCTTTCGTATTCCTTCTCCGATGGGCATCTTTACTTTGCGTTCCCTTCCTCTTTGTTTACCGAATGACCTTGCGCCTCGTTTCATTCTTTTTTCGTTCTTTTCGTCGGCTACGGTTTCTACTTTTGTCCACTTCTCTCCCTTTTCCCCCTATTAATTTTTCTTCCGCGTGTTATTTGTCTTTCGTGCTAATTATAATTTCCACGTTCTTGCCGTTTCTATCGTCTTCCCGCGTTTCTTTGTCCCTTTTCCGCAGTTTCCTCCCTCCATTACAGCGAGTCAGAAAATTATTGGAACTGTACAAGAAATAAGATGATGTATGGATTTCAATTTTTTGTTACACATATTTCCAATTTTTCTATATCAGCTTTTCCATTTATATTAGAATTTACTATTAAAAAATACTAAAATTCTTTCGCTGTGGCTATAATTTTACGACTCATCGTAGTGTCGTGCGTATTTTATTTTTCTTCATCCTTAGTTTTAATTCCTTTCATGTTCTGTCTTCTTCTCGTTATGCTTTCTTCCTTTAATTTATAATCCTCTGATCTCTTGCTTGGTCTGTTATTTTCACAATAATTGTTAAGATCGAACACTATAGAATGTAATCATGACACTGCATTGAATACACGATAAGTTCAATTTATTTATTTCACGACGAGTAAGAATATCGTGTTGTATCACTACTTCCACTTTCACAATTTTTGAAATAAATTTAAATGGTAATTAATATTACCATGAGTATTATAATGTAATTTTATACACAGACATGGAATAATCAACATTAGTTTAATGTAACGGTAGGTGTTGAGATAAACTAAACAAAAAGTTAATGAGACAAATTTTTTAAATTATTTTTCCATAGTGTTTGGTTCGCAACACGTTTGATTACATTTTAAGAAATTGTGCAGCGAAGGGTTATCAAACGTACAAGTAGCAAATGACGAAATACTTTTAAGTAATAGTCAATTTCCACGCGAGGTAGAAATTTTTCGACCGTCTATTCCACACGTATCAATTTAATTTTGTTACGCTTCGTCCAGTCCCTTTCAATAGCAATTTTTCTTCGGTCAGCTCGCTTTCACTCAATCTCGTGCTCTGCATTGTCGGAGCGCAACTGCACGTACGAAAGCGAAACGAAGCCGACGCATAAAATCTCAGATGAGACGTTTTGCGCAACAATGTATGTACGCGTACAACTTGCACGTGCATGATCGTATATGTTACGCGCATAGCGATTTTTGTACATACAATGGTCGCTAAACTGTACGACGAAATAAAAAGGAGCCGAACGTACCTGGAAACGAAACGATCTCTTTGGCGATCACCGATTGAACAGCATTACCATCGGCAGCCACTATTCGAAACTCGTGTCCCGAGATGGATAATCGAACGGGACAATTGTAAGCATTGGCATTGATGAGTCGTAACAGATATTGTCCTCCATGATCGACTTTCAGGATCGTTCCATTACTCTAAAAGAAAAAGTCCTTTCGATGTTTATTTGTTTACCGATTATAAGGGTGGTGGGAAGTCTTTAAAGTTTTAGACTTTAATACATCTAACATTAGATCGCGCACAGGCTTTACACTATCGTGTGGGTTGGTAAGTCTTTCTATCATTCTTTACATTTATTAAATTCTTGCTTTGTATTGCCTCGCATACAGGGTGTTTACGTATAAGTTCGGACACACGCAGGGTGTCAATTCTACAACAAATTTCCAACAAAAAATTACTCTTAAGACATTTTCTTTGTGTCGCATTATTCTCGAGTATTTTCACTTTTAATATTTATTCTGCGTTTTCGACTTGACGCTCTTCGAACGGCCATAACTCCATCAAATTACAGTGCAAACTTAAAACTAAGTATACCGTTCGAAAGAAGGTTAAATTTCCCATCTCTCTGATCCAAAACGAACATTTATTAGATTTAAAAAGTGAAAAATTAGGTCAAACTTCACATTGTGAATATTTTAAAAAATTTGACTGTTTCTGTATTCGTTTTTCGATTTCAAAGACGTAGCTGTTCGGCGGGCACTCTTCGGGAAAAACTTCCTCGAAGTCTCAACTTTTCAATATAGTATAGTAACAGAAAAATTTTACAGTGGTATTTGAGGGAAAAAATGACGTTTAAATGCAGAAAAGCGTTCGAAATGCCCGCCTCCTAAATCAAAACTTATCGGTTCTCCTGCGCCGAAAACATCGATATTTTGCTTTGTGAAATCGATCGTGTTCCAATCTCCGTATCATTTACCGGTACACCGAGATTGATTCCGATTAAATAGTCTCTAAAAACGAAAATTCTATAGATACATACTCGACAATTATGCGACACAAAGAAAATGTCTAAGAGTAATTTTTTGTTGGAAATTTCTTGTAGAATTGACACCCTGCGTATGTCCGAACTTATACGTAGACACCCTGTATACTTGAAATTGCTTGTATATTTCTCTTTATTCTCTGAAATCCCCAATAGGGATGTCGGTGGTTTGATGGGGTCCACTGGCCCCCTTATAGCTCGGGTACCTCGGGATCGCTAAACCCGTACTGTAGCTACAGTAAAACATAGCTACAACCCCTGAGGTCCTGTTCAATGTCCAACAGTTTCCGTACATACGTAACGTTTGTGTTCAGCACTTTCATGAATCGAGAGGAAGTTTTCTGTACCGTCGACATGATCTGTTTTACGCAACATTGCGCGAACGAACCCCGCAGCCATGCACTCGTTTCTCAAATTCTTTGAATATTTCTCTATGAAAGTTACGTTTTATAATCACAACATTTGCAAATTTGTGGGAAGCAAACCGCCGTGATTTTGCACAAGTATTTGGAATGGTGGAAAAGTACTATGCAGTACTACTTAAAATTAACGATAATAATATTTTGTGAGAGAAGTGGATAGATATTTTTGTAAGTAATTTTATTGTTATTGAGATGTACCAAAATTTTCAAAGAAATTCAAACATTCTTTATTATAATTGATGTATTAAATTTATACTTAATTGTCATCAATCGTGTCATGTTTTTTAAATTAAAATAAATTTATAAAGGAGTATTTAAACTTCTAAAATTTTTATACACCTGGATCACAATAAAATTACTTACAAAATTGTTCACTCACCTCATACGCATAACATACTTAACGTGTTTAATCAATATTAAACTAATTGTAATTTACCTCGATATAAAGTTAAATTTAATTAAAAAATAGAACACAATTTCTTCAAGAAAGTTTCTTTTATCCGTGTAGGTATATGTAGGTATATCCAGTAGTATGAAATTAACGTGGTGGTAAAATTGTGAAAACGAATCGTATTTACACAAGAATAATTGTTATACGTTATATACAATATAATGAAATAACAATTTCTTTCAACTTTCATTATGGCCATTATTCCAATTTAAGAGACGTGATGGTTACACAGATGTTTATTTATAATTTAGAATGAATATAAAAAAGAATTATAAACAAAACTACATTTTTCTCAGACTCACAGCTTTTTAAAATAAAGACCACAATCTTTTAGCGAACGTAAACAAGGATAATTACAAAAAGTATAATTAACGTACAAATGAAAAACAATGCCAGAAATGGAATACGAAAAACAGTACAAATGATTTAAGTTACTCTCTATTATGACCAATGAAGTCAACTTAACGAATTCTTAGTTGATCCATTGACTTTAAGTGAACAAATGAAAAAGTTGAATACTTTGAAACTTCCAGGTTAGTCTCATAAGTATTCGTACCCTCAGTATCTAATGAAAAAATGTATCTAATACGTACACGAATAAACTTTATATATATATATTTATAATAAAAAATTCATTTAGAAACACCAAACCTATCAGTTAATTTAGACAAATTTCCTAAACAGACATAGAAATTACGCACTGACTGCATGTTCCTTAACAATTAGACTTTTTCGTTTACTTCAACGAGTTCTATAAACCGTCATAGTTCGTACCTATAATTTGCTTACAACATAATTTAACAATTCCTTTATGTCCAATTGTTCGTACGAACTGGATTTTCATCTGGTACACGTGCAAGTTGTGCATTCAAAGTTCATCATCGGTAACCTACTCGTTGCATAAGAAAATCGAAATTATCGTGTTCACTTGTTTACTTCATAAATTATTTGTTTGTGTACCCTTTCGACGCCACCTTCCCTTCGTTATCGTCTAATTGGATAAATCAGTACCTGGCCGTTCAAGAGGAGTTCGGTCGGCGTGGGTGGATGTAGGTGCGAATGCCGCGACAGCAGAGTTGGTGGCCTTGATGACAAGAGAAGCATCCTTTCCAAGCTGGGGTCATCTTGTGGTCCTCGAACTGTCAACGACCCGTACACGCCGTCGGCTTGCTGCGAAACTAATAATTCCGTCCTATGATCGTTTTGTTATTCCTGTGATTAATGGAAAGTTTCATAGACGATTATCGCACGATTATTTCCATCTCGACGATGAATGACTTTTCGTCCTTGAAATCAACAACAAAATCAAGGTGCAACTTTCATTCAATACAATTTATTTTAAGTAATCTTTGAAGAATCAGAACCGGCTACGCGAGATTCACCAAATGGCATTTGTCGAATACATATGATACTTCGATATGTTAAACGTGCGAAAACAATGTTAGTGTTAATCACTTTGTACGTAGTCATACTTTATACATAATTGTTTTACAGATAATATATGCTGATAATTGTTATACAGATAATTATGAATAATTATGTAAGCAGCGACTGCGAAATTAGATTAAGATTAATATCAAATGATACAATGTACAGATCATTGTATTTTTAGAGCTAATGCATAGTTCAATATGTAACATGTCGTTGTTTATAAAAAATAAGTTAATAAATTACAATTTTAGACAGTTTTTTTTGGAAATTGATCGGTGTACGAATACTTTCTACACCCACTGTATATTTTATTTGCGTTATAAATATACTAATGAAAGTACGATTTTAGATATTTGAAATAATAATAAATAAATTATAATAAATATGATAAATAATAAAGATATAATAAATTAATAAAGATTTCCCCTGCTTACAATTATTATATAATTATCCCTAAATTGCTTTTGCAGGAATAATGAGAATATTAAATGACGAATAACATTTTTATTCGAATCAATGAATAAAATTGTCGTCGTAATATATTTTCTATACGTGAGTATACTTTGTAAGTACACCTATGAAAACGAGAACACTCATTTTTACGTACACGCATGCGCACGATACCTGACGTTCAATATTACTCGTTATTTAGAATTAATAAATATCTAGCCTTAATTTGCGTTTATTAACGCAGCCACTGCAATTTTAGATGACAAGATTGATACACCTCTTCGTTAGGTGTAAATTCGTTGTTCAAGCCACCTTAAAAGTCAACGTGTATATTCTTTCAATTCTATTGATCTAGCTTAATCTTATTTTGGTTGACTATGTAAGGCGCGCCTCGAAACGTTCGAAAGTATTGTAGGTATCGCGTTCCTATATATAGGAAGATATATATGTTCATACAAAACAATTCCATTCATCGTCCAGCATTTAGAACGATTTTTTATACTAATTTTTATATCACAAGTTCCTACCACTATTTATGATACAATTTCAACTTAAATTGAAATGAATTTCGTCCAAATTCATACTTCTACTTTTTCGAGATCTTGCCATAGGCCATTTTACTTTTCGCTATACACATTTTTCATTGATTTACTGGTACTTCAACTTACCTTTTACAAAAAGAAGAAAAGAAATAAAACAAAACTTCCGACAAAATTGTAGTAGACGGTGAAGTAGTAAATAATTGATATAATACTCTTTCTTTATCATTTTCGCATGTATTTAACAAAATTGTTTGAAAGTACCTGAACGTTTACAGTCGACGGAGATTTCCTCTTACGTTTCATTCTACTTTTCCTTTTCCTGATTACCGAACTAGGATATTTCACTCTAACACAACAGAAAGCTAGTTTAAACATAGTTATTCGTAAAAATGACACTTCAGACGATTGTTGGGTGTCATACTTCCCTTCAGGCACTGGGAGAAGAGGAAGTTAACACGTAACCTAACTTCTACGCGGTTGCAAGATTATTGATCTACTTTGATTTTACTTCTCCCGCAGGAAGTAGAAGTCGTTCTACGACGCGGTAAATTTGAAACCAATTCGAACGAAATTCGAAGAAACAACCTCTAATGAATTACTTAGAATTATTAAAACGGTGAAAATAAAATAGCGGTAGAATAATTTGTACTGAGTTTCGTTTCTAATTTATTATATTTTATACTCAACTTATCACGAGTGCATATTCGGTTAAAAGAGAACAACGGTAGTCAAATGCTTTTGAATGAACTAATAACTTTACCAACTAAAGTATGAGTGTTATTTAAATTAAACGAAAGTATTACTAACATAAACATTTGTAAAATAATATATACTCATATAATATATAATAAATAATATATAAAATAATATATAATGTAATAGTATATAATATATAATATTTACTCATACTTGAATGGAAAAATTAAATTGCAATTTCAGTGAAAAATATAATAAATTCAAAGCTCCTTGTAACGTTCAATGGTTCATTCAATTTGGAGTATTTTTATGCTCACTTTCTTTGTTTTCGTTATATTGCTACAGAGATTAATAATGGAACTGCATCCAGATAGTACAAGGACGTCTTATGTACCTGCAAACGTCCCCTGAACGTCTTGTGAACGTCCCTGTTACGTCCGGTGCTATCTGGGAATATTTCTTTAAGGGTATCCTGAATTAGGTCTAAAAATCTAAAGGTCTAAAAAAAGCGGGTTTCGTGAATTTTTTTAGGATGGAAAAAATAAATTATTCTATCGAACTTTTTATCTTATTTTCATACATATTTGAGTAGCCTGTAGACATTTTCTCAACAAGAAATATTCAAATTGAGTCGACTGTGACACATATTTGTAGAACACCTCATAATTAAAACCTTCTATCGGCGGGAAAGATGCAGGTCGTAATTTTGGTTTGACACAAAAAAACCAAAAGAAACGTTCATTTTCATACATTTTTCTTCTATGTGAACTAAGAAAAACCGGCAAAAATGGTGAAATGTGAAATTACTGTAAGTTTAAAAAAAAGAACAAGTACTTTGGGTGAAAAACATCACTTTAACTCGATAAAAAAGTTGTTTAAAATCTTTTTTGTATGAATTTTCTTAGTTCACATAGAAGAAAAATGTATGAAAATGAACATTTCTTTTGGTTTTTTTGTGTCAAACCAAAATTACGACCTGCATCTTTCCCCGGCGATAGGAGGTTTTAATTGTGAGCTGCTCTACAAGTGTGCGTCACAGTCGACTCAATTTGAATATTTCTTGTTGAAAAAATGTCTACAGGCTACTCAAATATGTATGAAAATAGGATAAAAAGTTCGATAGAAGTAATTATTTTTTTCCATTCTAAAAAAATTCATGAAAAACCGCTTTTTTTAGTCCTCCTAATTCATGATACCCCCTTAATCCACTTGTTTGTTTATTGTAAAAACAAGATTTACTTACCTAAATGTGCATAGTACATGTATGTGCCAGTGGTTTCCGGTTTTAGATTGTAACGAAAGCCGCCAAATGGTAGTATCGAGCATTGCGTGATCATCGGCACACCGTCCATATGAGCGGTGCCTCTTTGTTGCAATCCATGCCAGTGTAAAGAAAATTCCTGGGAGCCTAATCTATTATACAAAAGTAGCTCTATCGTGTCCCCAAGACAGATCTGAAAATTGAGAGATAACTTATCGATAACAAATTAAAATTAATCTAAAGAATGATCGAAAGGCTTTTCTTTATCTAAGAAATTAACAAATAAAATACTAATAATAACCGATGCCATACAATTTTTGAAAAAAAAAAAAAAAAAAAAAAAATTGATAAAGAAATTTGGCAGCTTTTTAATTTATAATAATTAGAAAGGAGCATCTAAATTATATCGGTGCGCTAGTAACTGTAGAACTAGCCCCTGACAATAGCGATAAGTGCGAAATCGCTCGCAATGTAACCGCATTCAAATATTTATGTATTTTCTTTGCAGAAGTAAAACCAGGGCCGGCGTGACCTTTTGCAGGGTCGGGTTCAAAAATGTTGCGGGGCCTGAATTCACATTCAAATCCTGCACTTGAATTTTACAACGAGGAATTATTTATTTACAAATGCTATATATTTTTTGTAAGATGAATATTAAACAATAATACTTTGACGATTTTTGTCACTCCTTTCAATTTAATCATCGATACTAAAAAAAATGTCTTGCATCTCAGCAAAAATTGCTTCCATTTGTTAATGGTTTCATCAGTCTGTAAAAAGATAATCAAAATCGGTACCTTTTAATTCAGTAACTTTCGTAGACCGCGGGGCCTTTTAAAACGCGGAGCCGGGTTCCGGCGAACGCGCTGAACCTGCCTTGCGCCGGCCCTGAGTAAAACTATCTTAAAAGTTGAATATTAAATTTCGAAATATTCGATTACCTCTATTTGAGGTCCTGGACTCCTTCCATTGATCCCTAGAAAGCTTCTCGTTTTGCGAATCACCGACTCGTCCTCGATTTTCGATTCATTACGAATACTGTAACAGTAAAAATAACACGAAACATAGAACGGGTATTTGAAAGACCATTTTGTTTCTTGCTATAATCAAGTTCAATGAAAATTGTCTGGGACGCGTTACTTAAAAAATGTTTCATTTTATTTCTCATTTAGAAACTAAATTTGATTGCAGTTATGGGTTTCATTTCAGTGTTAAGAAATAAACGACGCTACAGAATGTTTGTATAACTATGTGCACAACATGAATTTTTGTTTTTAACCGGTTTTATTTTTGGAAAAATTCGTTACTTTGAGTACTGTGCAAATAAAGGAATGAGTCTATCTTTATCTATAAATACAGATACGAAAAGAATGTCCCTTTTATTATAAATTTCTAGTTGTGAAATTGATTGATATCCTCATGGATAAAAACGGGATTGCGTAATCGATCGTTTAACACCGAATTACGATATTATATACCATTCCGACCCAACGATTGTTTCTCGAACTTGACCATGAAAAGAATCGCCGTATTCCATGATCGCCTATCGCACAGGGTATGTATGCTATGTAATGATTTTATATAGCTTTACTGTCTATAGTGCACGTAAACGTGTCTGTAGTACTGTAGGAACCTGTTAGAAACCGTAAAAATCCAAGATGCACTTTACAACCAAGTGTGTCAACCGTTACCTCGTGGATTACATTCGAAATTGCATTATTATGAGACTAACGCGGGAATATTCTGGTATTTTAACCGAATTTCCTTTATTAGGGACTTACGCATTGTATTTAGATTTCGTACGCACTGTTCCTCTTTATCTCAAAAAAAAAAACAGAATACTATAAACTTTATCAAAATAAACAGACGTTGAATCGCGAGATAATTAACACGTAATTGAATAAGAGTTATTTGAATTATAACAGTACTATCCAAAGATCTTTAAAACTTTATCTGCTGAGATTAATTCCAGTGTTTCGATACTTAATCCCTAGGTACAATGCTCAATTTGAGGAAACGAATAAGGCTTTTAATATACTTCGTAACACTTCCTTCCAAGTTGTACATTTTTGTCTAAATAAAGTGGTTGTTAGTGTTAAGATATCGTACACGTTTCCAGTTATTTTATTTACACTAATTGATGGAAGACGAGCATGTAATTAATTTTTAGCGTCAATTATTGAATTATCGTTCAACGATACATTTTAAAATTGATATCGGAGAATTTTTTGGACGGTTGTTATTTATTTCTGGGAGTGCAACATTACACGAAACGCAGCGATGAGTTTTTGGATTTTCATCTCACCTGATCGTGGTAGGCAATTCGCTGACGAAGAATTCGTAGCGGCATAACTTTTTCGAAGAATCCTCCTTGGCGCAGGGGCGCAGGCATTCGTGAGACTGGCCATCTGATTTTCAAATACACAAACGAAATTAATTTACAACCGTCATTATCGAAAATTCTCACATCTTCGAGTAACAGTTTTAATCGTTTAATAAATATAACACCTCAACATGCTCGACACCTCTCGAAGATTCGTAAACTGTGCAACGCAATAGAAATATACAAATCTTGAAAGAAAATATGAAAGATACTATATTTATCAAATATAACTATATCTACAAATATAGATTCTATTTTTTGTTTGCTAACGCATCATTAAAAATCAACTTTATTTCCTTGATTATATCATTCGTCCCGAAAAAGACCAATTACATTTCGTTAACCCTTGCAGTCCGAGTTTTTTTATTTCAGTATACTCTTGCTAAACCTCGCTCGACTTAGAATCGCAGAGGGTTAATCATGTAACAGTAAATCGCGTAACGTGTTCTCGACCGGCGTATTATACGGAACAGGCAAAACTTCGATTCACTTTAATTTTCACGATCGTATCTTTTCGAGCACATTTGTTTTCTAACGGCGTCGAGGTCAATGCACTTGTGAAACAAGTGCGCCAAGTTGAACACTTGTAGTTTCGTGCTAACTGCAAATGTTCGAAACTTTGAGGACTAAGTGAGTCAGAAGGAGACAAATTTATTTCCTCACCCCGTGTTTGAGATCTCGAACTTTTTAACGAAATTAAGAGAATAACAATAACTGTGAAATTTTCGAACCGCGACATTTTAATTAAAAATAGAATCTATGTATGAACAAAATTTGTTAATTTATACTGATCCCAGAGTTGCCATCGCGAAATACGAGGCTGCGACGACCCGAAAATGCGAACACTGCGATGTTACGCGGTTCACGATCAAACGACGACTTGGATGAACCGATCTTGCTTGGTGAAAGCAAGGCCTAGGCTAGTCCTAGTTACGCAAGTTGCATTCGATGCAGATTCGGTCGTTTTTTTTTTTCCTTTTGACGGAAGACAAAATGTAATGTTCACGTAATCGCTATTAGCAAATTTTAGCGATGGCTTAACGAAATCGGCACCCGGTTTCGTAAATGGCAAATAAACGTTACACAATCTTTTCCTTTCGTTTTATTTCAAAAGTACATTCACTCCCCAGCCTGAATGTAATGGTTTCACGTTAAAAAAATACCGCAACAACGTAATTATCTATTTATGTAAAAATATACAGATAATTGCATGTACAAAAGTATTTACAAAGCAGCCATCAATTAATGACTGAATCTAGAGACAATGATTTTTACTTAATTTAATTTTTAATTTTTTCCATATATATTACATTCTGTTTTCCTCTTCCTTTTCTTTTTCCAAGGAATTCAATGATAATATACACGCAAGACTCCAATATGTATTGCATTGATGGGGTCAAGTTTGGACACATAACTGAGATAATGACTCTTTTCTACTTGAAAAAATTTGTCTAGGATCAACAATGCCGGTCACTTTTTTTACTATAGATTTCCGTTATGTACTTGGAACTTTGTTGTGTTCTAAGTTTGTATGAAGGAAACAAAATTCCTTTGATCGATTCTTCTGTGAACTTAAGAACGATGTAAAATGGGAACAAATATTGACACATTAAATTAGTTCAATTGTTAATAGCAGTAATAAATGAACATCAAAATAAATAAATTAATAGTTGTGTTTAGATCTTGAATAAAGCAAGTCTACAACAGTGAAAGACAGTAGAATGTAACTATTGACATATGCTACATTCATGTAGATATTGCTAAATTAGTTTTATAACACTCTAAACTGCACAGCGGTACTCCAGTTTTTGAACATGAATATTTTTTCGGATTTCTGCATTGATTTACGCCGCAAAGGACTTTGCTTGGAGGGTCTTTCCTGAAAGACAAAATATAACAAAGTGTACACAAACATTTTCTAATACTGTTAATTAACAAGAGATAGGCTCGACATGTTTTTGCAAGCTTAGTTAAAATTTTTAATCATTTCTACACACCCTTTTGTAGGCTGCAATGGAAAATTTTCTCCCGGTGGTAAAGATATTGAACTTCTTTCTAGTGTTAAACGATATGTAACTAAAGGAACTTGTCTTCTGGAAGGTTTTCCTTTACTAATAACTTTAGAAGCTTTAGACTCTTGCTTCTTCAATAATCTTTCCATTGTTTTTTTCTAAACACGAGAGAAAAATTTTAATTTACGAAAATTCAAATCTGTTATGATTAAGGTACCTTATCTTTTTCCCTTTTCTCGTCGGCCAGTTGTTTTCTTTTTAAAGATTTAAGAGCAGCCTTTTGTATGGCTTCAGCCGTCATAACTTTTTCTTTGTATCCAGTTGGTAAAGACATAAGTTGTTCTACACCTGGATTTGGTTCTGTATCAGTCTTTCTTTCGAACATAGCTCTTTGGCGAGCTGTCATTAATTTTGGATCCTTTGGTTTGATCTTTTTCAATTCATCGTCAACCTACAACACAATATTAAAGTGGTTAATTGTGGATCCTTATAGGTATATACATCTCTTTTAATACCTCAAAAAATGTATATATTAATTAGCTTCAATTAATATTACTTATGCTTATTTATATACCTCTTCCAGTTTCCCAGATTCTATTGCATCGAGCCATCGTTCCTCCTCACTACTAGTACCACTCTCTTTACCTTTATTACTTTTTGGTACTTTTTTCTTTGTTGTAGCTTTTGGCGATGGAGCAGTACTTGAACCTGCGACACTGAGATTAGATGATTTCAGCACTTTTTCGCGAGGCTTTTCAGAACTACAACATAATTCAAGTTGATATTGAATGAAAGTTTATCACTAAATGATACATTTCAATATCATTGTTTTAAATTTATGTTTTGTTTACCTTTTATCATCATCCTTTTTCATTTTAACTCTAAATGTTTTCTTCTTCTCTGTTTCGACAGCAGTATCATTAAAGCTATCACTTTCATTGTGTGTTGGTTTCTTCTTCTTATGTTTCTTATGCTTATGCTTTTTATGCCTTTTTTGTGGCGACACTTCATTAGTTTCTAAAAGGTGAAGGATGCATACTCAGTTAAATCAGAAGAAAATAATTGGAACCGAACATAAATACATGTTTGGATTTTTAAATTTTCCGCGAAAACATATTTTCACGAAGTGCCATTATGATTATTTGGCGTTGTAGTCGCGTCACCGAGTTGACTATCTCGAAAGCACTTACTAACCTCAACGACAAAATTAAAAGAGTGAATTAATAAATTCGATCATTATTTCGTTATATGAATATTAATCACGCAGTATGTAGAAAACCGTACCTACACCCATATCTTCATCTGTGCTTATGTCTTTCACCTTACCCATTTTATTGATATGCTGATCCGCTTGAACTGTCAAAACAGTATAATGTTGGAGATACGGTGTACGATATAGTGTAAACTAAGTTAATTTCACAGCTATTACGTTGGTATTACAGAGTAGTTTTACAGAGGCGAAACTCTGATCGAAAACTTTGATGTTTATGTTTGTTTATGTTCCCCTATTTTCGGAACTGTAAGGAAATTAAATCAATGGCTTCCAATGGCACCTTTGTCCAAGATGCATTCGCACTAGGGATAAAATTTACATTATCCTAAGTTTACTAAATAATTAACAAATTACTCGATCATTTTACAGAAACTACTTGAATATACATAGATATTTTTGTGACATTTGCCTGATGAACATGCATTTTCTACGGACGTAACACTGATACCACTAAATGCTGTTATTTATTACTGCAAAATATAAATTTATTCGTACCTTTTCTTACGAAAATAATGTCCCAAAAAAAAGATAATTTAAATTCTTTAAAATCATATACAAATTATAATTCGGTTGATTTATTAGTACTGTCTTGTTGGAGAAAATCTTTCTGAACAAAATGAATTAACTATTTAAAATAACTAATTCTAGATTTTTACTTCTTGTCAACTCCAATCATATTTGATATCACAGAAAGATATCGAATTTTCGTGTTTTCATGTTTAAATTATCATTATATTGAATGTAAATGTATATGTAGATAAAGTTAATAGTACTTAAAAAAATGTACAGAAAACATTTAAGGATGCTTCTTTTATACTAATATATACACTTCCTAATAAATAAATTTACATCATGTATGATAATGTTATGAGTAAGGTTTTATTTTAATCTGCATAATCAGAGAAATTAAACTTTTTGAAGATCTTAGATACTTTATATTTACTATTGCTTATCTTTAGTTTCACTGAAGAGAAAGAATTATTCGTTGCACTTTGAATATGGTAATATTTTAAATTCTTGTAGCAAAGATTTTGTTCATCAGAATATTTTAATAATGTTAGGAAAAATTAACATAAATTAAAACTTGCACAAACATTATTAAAAACTACGTAATTATTTCATATGTTTAATAAATAAAAGTAAAATTAAAAATACTAGAATGATGAAAATGTTAGAACACATTTTGATCAAATTAAAATTGCATTGTTTTTACACGATTAAAATGTACATAAATTAAAAACTACTTAAATCTTATGCTTAAAAATTGCGTAGTATCTCTATGGATTATTTATAAAAGGCAGAAAACTAAAATTAATAAGACAAAAATAACTTGCCCAAATATATAACAAATTGATATAAGAGAAATCTTTTATTGTACAATTTGTTTCAAAGATTTGAGTAGCACATACAAGTGTAGAAAGTAAAATAGCTTCCCACTTCATGTCATACTGTAATTCAAATATTTCATCTTAACGTGTTCCCTGCACGACGATTGTAGATTCTAATTTTTTAATAAAAGGTTTTTAAAATATGACAAACTTCAACAAAACATAGCATCATATCGGTAAGAAACATTACCATTTCTATAGTGACTCATCTTTGCCGATTTATAGCCTTGATCCTTTTGTAAGTACGGTCTATGTAAAGCACTGCCTAGGGCATAGCAGTTACTATGCTCCATTCGAAATGACAGGAGCAAAATGCTTGTATTTGGTCAGAAACATTAAGCTGTTTCCTGCCATCAGCCTCATAGCCGCCTCTCTTCCCCGTGCCAAGAAGAAGGAAGAAGAGGAAAAAGATGGGTGAAAAGTGTTGATCCTTGAAAGACGCGCTACCTGCGTACATTAAATCCTCGTGTTCCATCTGGTCCAATAGGCATACGAAGAACATTATTTGGTAGGCCACTACAACTTGGTGTTATCGACTTTGGTTGAATTCTACTTATTTCTTGTTCTAACTTTTCCTCTGGACTTTTTTCTTCACCTAATATTCTCTTCCTTGCTTCTGCATATTCTTGTTCCCTCTGCAAATATTGATTATTACATAATCGTTCCTCTTACTTATCATTGTAAGATATTTAAAACCGTACCTGTTTTAAAGTCTTTATAGGTTGCTTTGGTTTATCTCCATTCACTAATGGTCCATCACCGCTACCTTGTGAATCCCTTGTAGGTCTTTTTAATATTTTTACTGCTGGTTTTGGAGGTACATATTGTGATCTCATACCATCATCGCCTAGTATTATCATCCTTGTATTTGTACTGTGATTGGTTTTGAAGCTAAAACATTATAATCACAAGATACTCTCCAGTATAGGAATATTCTAATAAAAATAAACCAATTCTAATTATTTAACAGTCACGCACATATAAATTATTCAAATTTTAACTTAAATTTACATATCCAAGGTTTATACATATCCTTCCTTTAATTAAATGGTATATTAATTTCTTATTTAGAAAATTATCCTTTTATTTTACCAATTGTTAGAATTCTTTATTAAAATTTCAACAAAGCATTAGGAAAACAATCATTTTGAACTTACCTAGAAGATTCTATTTCTTCTAATGTTTCTACCGCATTTAACTGGAGGGCATCCAACTTTTTGTCAAGAGCCTAAAATCGATTGTAGTTCTAATATTATATTACATTAATACAATAAGATTTCATACCAAGACGCATATATGTCATTTTTAATCATAATTTTTCATATAATTCTTCCAAATTTTCCGATAACTAGTCACTTTTTTATCCTTAAACATGTTAAAATATTACATTTCAATAAATAATACTTATAGCTCCAAATTACAAAATTCAACGTGTCTACCAATATTTAACCGAAGATGAAAATACAAAGGGTAAAAAACACTTACATTGATAATCAAACTTAAAAATTGCCAGAATGTTCTATAAACGACAAACTTTTATTTGTTGCAATAGGAAGGTAGCCTTATGGAAAGCAATGTACATACTTTCTTATTACCACTACTATCAATAGTCACACAGACACCTACTCATGTAATACAAGAATTTAAGTCATATATAATCATTCGAAAGACAAGAATCTAAGAACCAGAGAGTAATTCAAGTATAAGTATCATTTTGTGTTAGTCATATGTGATATTATTATATTATCAGAAATTTTTTTCTTTGATGTTCTTGATACCCTTAAGAATTAACACTTTAAAAATTTACTTCGCGACACAGGTTAACGTAATTATTCCTTTATTATTTCCACTGTAAATAACACTACCTTAAGTATACTGAAACGATAACTTACTCCTGATTCCTCGATTTCTTCCCAGCTTTCAAGAACATCGTCCATAGTTGACATTCCGTGATTTATGTATTAATTTCTAATTTTTATGTATAACTGCAAGAAATTTAACAATACAACCTTAGCATGAACTACCGAGGAAAGCATAGACGAGTAGAACACTAACATACGTGTACCCTCTAGGTAAAAAAAAAATCAAAATAGAATACCTCACCCGACGAGAAGACGAATTCTAGTAACACAATCACGTGACTTGTGACAGGACCGAAACGACGAAGCGCAGTGCCCCGAATAGTAGTCCACAGTAAAAATATATACAAATATGAAATGAAATATTAAAAATAAAAGTATATTTAAAATCAAGAAGTAACAATACATCTCCAAAATTATTCTTAGAAATGGAACACTTTATACATTCACACGTATACTTGTTCTTCTAGATTGTTACACTATATAATATTAATTATAATTAAATAAAAACAACTCCACACTTTAAATAAAACTAACCTAACCTAATAACAAAAATATAAAATAATTTCGCATTCAAGAGTGGGCGATATAAAGGAAAATATGTGTTTCTTTTCGCCTTTTAAAAATTATCATTTTTACGGTTTGACATAAATTGAATATTCCAAAATGCAAAAAATGTCAGTTCCTTTTGATAGTTGAAATTTTTTTCTATGAAGACTGTATAAGGAGTTCCAACTGTGTAATGTAGAAGTGTTATTGAAATCCCTTTCGTTCACTCGTGGCGCTAGTGCGTACAGCTACGGTATATATATGTCATATGTGTATGTACTATCATATATATATATCGTAGTTGTGCTACTTGCGCCACGAGTGGACGAAATATTTATGCTCGGGATTTTGATAACAGTTTTCTAGTAACTTTCGTATGGAGTTGGATTTCCTTATACAGTCTTCATGGATCAAACTAAAGCTGGATAGTGTCTTGTGGCATCATCCAGTGATGAAAATAGGGATTATTTCACGTTTTATCGCAGAAAATGCTGACCAGTTATTTTTTAAGAGAAACAATCTACAAATCTAATAAGAAACGAACAGTAATCTCAACACCTAATACAACACTTGTAGTCAACGAAAGCCACCAATCTGTAATAAGCATAGATATATATGTATACAACTACATGCTCACACTAATAAGAGTTATTTAGGATCGTTCGAGTTAGAAACGTTAGCGCAATTGACAATTGATCACTGATCATAAACTGATTTTTGGGGATTTTGTGCTGAATACGGTACTCACTAGCAGAGATGGGCAAAACCCTAGACTTCAAATAAATCTGAAGTTTACCGATATGTTTGTCTCGTTTTCTTCTTTGGAAAATTTTCAAAAGAGGAAACGAGACAAACATATCAGCAAACTTTAGATTTATTCGAAGCCTAGGGTTTTGCCCATCACTGCTCACTAGGTCGCTACTTCCGACATGATCAGTGAGCAGTCGCTATTTTTTATATCGGCGACTAGAGTACGTGTAGAACAGCGCCAAATATTAGGTAGACTGGAAAGTAATGTCGTTTCTTTTACATTAAATTCAAAGAAATTTTTAATAAATTTCTATTTTTAATCAGTTATGTAATCGCCTTTGTTATCAACAGCCTTTTGCCATTTAGTGTGCAACTTTTCAACCCCATATCGATAAAAATCAATGAGCTGATGAGTGATAAACAAGTATTTAAAATTGCACAAACGACATTACTTTCCAGTATACCTAATATAAACAGTGTAACTTGTGTTATGTAGAATGGATAAGTGAACGGAGATTCTTTGTGAGACTATAAAAATTAAACTAAAATGTGGAGTGCATGCGCGTGTATGCATATATGTATATGCTTGGTGATTCTGGAATTGGTGTATGAATGTCAAATTTTGGGGCACTTTATGTGACGAAATACTAATTCAAAATACGAGAATTTACTTCTAATCGGTCGCGATTCATTTATGCGCAACACTAATAGCACTCGCGGCTGGTCTTTGTACGCAACTCTACCCTGAAAGAAAACGCGAAGAATTTTAATCAAAAGCTACATTGGCTCTAAATACTACTTCCAAACGGACGCGATATTTATTATACGCAACTCTAATAGCACTCGCGGTTGATCTGTATTACGCAACATTACCCTGAAATAAAACGCGAAAGATTCTATTCAAAAGCAAGACTCTTAATCATAACAAATCGGACGCGATCAATATTCATTTACATAAACGCAACTCTAATAGCACTCGCGGTTGATCTGTATTACGCGACACTACTCTGAAATAAAACGCGAAAAATTCTAAAAAAAAAACAACCTCACAAACGAACGCGATTTATACTTTCATGTCGCAACACTAAAACCAAACGCGAATTGCCATACAATGATATCCCACGTTGGGGTACATGACCCATCAAAATAAACTTAAATTACTACAACTACAGGCGAGTACAGTGACAACATAGTAATAATGACTCCCCATCTTCAAATTCGAAGATGAAGAGCCATCCGTTGCAGCCCTTTCTTGTGACAATTTGTCAGGGCCTTTCTTCCCTCTTCGGACGCATTGTCCCATCTGAAACTTATAGCTAGGGTCGAGGTTCAGTGCAATACGTGGACGTTCAACCTAATGAACCACACGTCTAGAACCTCGAGAGAACGAGCGTTTCGAACAACCCTACTGATCACGACCGCGACCGCGAAGCAACGACTCAATGAGTCGAGACCTGAAGAATCGAGAGTAGATTCCGAAACAAACGGACAGAAGATCCGTTTGCATCGTGATCGCAACGACTCCTCAAATCCACCTACAGGTGCAGACCCATCACGTACGCACGCGACCAGTATGCTCTGGAATGCATACCCATGGTCACTATACTCGCCAAAGACCACGTATACAACTAGTCACCCGTGCCTATTCGAACCTTTCGTCCTACGACATGATTGGGGATATGTACTTAATATATCTTTAGAAATAAAGGTTCAAAGCCAATTACCTCAAACTTTTATTCAGCAAATACATAATGAAAGGAAACAAATCTTGAACAACTTTATTCGAATTATTTAGTAGGATATTAGCAACATTTCGTGCTAATACATATAACCTTACATTTCATACTTCAATCCAACAATTGTCAAATTTTTTTATTTTACTTTAAACAATATGTTTCTTCATGTGTTTACAATCTTACAGCAAAGGTAGAAAAGTAGAACTGGTAAAAATAACAGAGGCAATCATATCAAGAGCAAAAATGTAAAATGTAGAATATTTCAGTAAATTGTATTCATGTCTTTTGGCACACATTTGGAACCGAACCCATCAAACTATAGGTAAGCATAAATATTATTTACTTCTGTTTTAAGGAAGTTACAGAATTATTATATGGCAGTGAAAATGTCTCAAAGATAGGGCAAGGAACATTATTGTCTTCAACGATAGACTGAATTGAGAAATCATGTTTCCTTAGGCAAATATAACATGGGTTAAATTAGACCATACTGACCAGTTAATTAATTTAGGTATGTGTAATTGTTTTCTTGCAATTTTTATATTGAAAGCAGTAGAAGCAGTGATGGCTTAATGCCAAGTGGATGATGAAAATAGATCTGATATTATCCTATAAGATAAAATATCGATATTATTATGTTATTTTTAAGTGGCTTACCAGAAGCTATGGGAAGTGAAATACAAGGACACAAACTTACAATGGTAATGCACAATTATTAACATTTCAAAATCTTTTTCTCTTTATTTAAAATCTATCTTTACTTGAAATTAAATTTTACTTTAAACTTGCAGGTACCACTAAGAATTTGGGGTAGAATAATATCCCTTGTGATGAAAGATGAACTAGAAGATGATACGCCATTATTAAGTACTCTCATTCAAGTAAATAATAATAAAAACACTAATCAATTAGAAAGCTCGTGTATTATTTACAAAATAAATATCTTAGTTCTTGACATATGTTTATTTGTTATTTTTACTGATCATGTTCTGCGATGTAAAAGCGAATTATTCTTAAGCGTACTCTACATTTAACAACAAGAACCCTAACTCTGAGAAATATATTTGACCGATACTTTAATTTAATAATCTCGTCCCCACTGTTTGACAATTGATAAATGTAATATCATTCGTCGTATTGTTCAAAAATTATGATAATCGTACTACATAAATCGCTCGATCACGTCATATCAACCTAAATCATTGAATCTTTAATCTAACGTGATTAATGTAATTCAGAATTAATGTCCTGTGAGATAAGTGATCTGTATTAGCTAATAAAGTTGTTCTAATAAGTGATGCATCGGTTTATGTGTAGCTACATGAAAGAATAAGTGCTTGGAAATCGATTGTATACATTTATCAAAGTTAGTAAGGTTACTAAACGTAAACAAGTTTCTCCCTTGCTTTTACACGAACGAAAAAAAAAATCTCGGAAATTGCGTACAGACAAGGGTAATAATATATACCTACATGTATTATACATATCGTTATTTTCACTTTCCAATTTCAATTTCCGTTCAAAAAGACCGCGCATGATATTTAGAAGTGACAACCAATCACGTTTAACGTTTCTTTGGAACTTTTAAATACTGAAATTTCATTGGCCAAGCGCCGGCAAGCCACTGCGCAGAAGAACGACGCCGAGAACGAGGCGTCCTTCGTTCGGCGGCAATTGGAGAGAGCAAACGTGTCGTGTCGATCGGTGATCCGGCAATTAATAAGTAAGCATAATTCATTTCAATTAATATCTAATCGTTGCTATTTCTACCTTGGGTTACTTCTTACCGCCTCTTTAATATATCAATACTATTCCTTGTTAATTGAATCGGGTTTTCGAGAAAATTAGACTGATTTCGTACTTCGTTCTCCATGAGGTACCAATTGATATTCGTTCAAATATCGATTCGTACTGTGGGAGTACGTCTTCCAGAGTAATATTATCGTTTCTTTTCCGGTTTTCGAAGATAATTTTGTTGCTTGGATACAGTACAAATATATATTTATCGTAACTTGGTCTCAATTTCGAATTCTTGAATGTTCCAGGATCTGACGCCACGAGTCTGCGTGATGTTCGCCAACCGCCATTTCACGTTCAAATGGCTACTTTACGTTGAAAATTTCGATCAAAATTTGTGGACATCACAACGCCAGAAAAATTGTGCAGCTTACCGAGGAAAGCAGAATAATAGGTAATACTGTCTTTAATTAATGTCATTAATAGATTACATTGATTATCAATTATAAATTTACAGTTCTTTATTCATTCTTTGAAAAATAATGATTTTAATCGTTTTGACCATCTTGACCATAAAGAAATAATATTAATATATTAATTATAATTACAATTCAAATAACGTAAATTCAAACTCTATTAGCTCATTATGAATATAGAATGAAATTGTACAAATTTACAGAATTATACAATTTATATCTCCTTAACAAAAGCATCTAAATATTGAAAAAATGTTTAAGATTTTATCTTTTATGTTTGTAACATTTTTATAATGACTTATAAATATGTGTATCATGAAACATAAAAGGTAAAATCTTAAACATTCTTTCAATAATTAGATTCTTTTGTTAGATATAAATTGTATAATTTTGCAAAGTTACAATTTTTTCTTACATTTATTATAAATTGATAAATTGTATGAGTCGAAGCACTTTTACTATGGTACGCTATATTTTCTAGAAATTATGAACTTGTACGATGATATACATTTTCATAATTTCTTACAAAATTTAACGAAACAGAGAGAAGATACCGAGGTATTTAAATGCTGAAAACATGTTTACGTTTTCATTACATCTGTTTCGTTCGGAGTGAGTACTGTAACTTTTGAAACATGTTATTAATTCATGTAACTTTTATTGCAGATTTTATATATCATCAAGCACAAATACCCCGAAGTTCGACGTGGGTAATTCAGAGCTACTACGATGTTCGACGTGGATAATGCAGAGCTACTCCGATGATCAGCGACAGTAGAACCACTACGATGTCCTGTATCAAGTCAGCGGTTGGTGAGTTGCATGCTTTTCTGTACCTCCGGTCCCCGGTCATGACGTAGGATGAAAGGTCCAAATCGACACGGGTGACTGGTTGTATACGTGGTCATTGGCGAGTAATGTGACCACGAGTATGCATTGCATGGCATACTCGTGAATGGTAAACATTTCTTGTTTTATTTATTTGTGTAAAAGTTAATATTTAATTAAATAATAGTAATTTCACTTTATTCTAAATCAATAATATTAGGTGTCAGACAAGAATGATAAGGAAATTCTATCGCATTGAAAGTGTAGACCAAAAAGTTTCAATTAATGTCTGATCAATTCTATATAACCATCACGATTTTATGATCGTTCTATACAATTTTAATAATACCATCTGTTAATTAGTTTGATTATATTTGAAAATATTTAGTCAATATTAGTTATTCTAGAGTTAAGAATAAGAAATTAAAAGAATTTTCACATGTATGAACTTAAAGTAATCTTTTTATTTTAAACATAATTTATTACAATGATTTATTCTTTATACACTGAGATGCAATATATACTTTATTGTTAGATTTCACGAATACGTGTACACAGTTAATACATTTTTAGTTAGCTCATTTTATATTCTGTTTCGATCTTTTTAATTGTTTTCGTTATTTTTCTTTTTGTAGTTCATTTTGGAAAATACAATGGCGTTTTATTAACACTAATGCTAAAATTATCGATGCCAATAAGATCTTAATACTAGTAAGAGCATTATTATTATTGTCAAGAGTCATAATTAAATCATCATTTAAAAATCATACAATGTTTCAGAATAAGTTAGTATACAAATTCATAACAAAGATGTTTTAGAAATATTGTATGAAGATTGAAGTTTATATATTAAAATCAGTCCTGTAAATAGTGATCAATCATTTAAATATTAAGTACAGAGAAAATATTATAATAGGAAAGCATTCTTTAAATCTAGTATCGAAGTATAGATATATAAATTATATTATTCTAAAATATTTGTTTGTAAAAGTTTCTTAAATAGAACTAGGTACATATCGACCTCTCTATTAAATTAATACAAGAAACCAGAATTAAATTTTGATTACTAATTGTCTTGGTTGTATACTAAATTACAAAAACTAGCATCTAACAAAATAATTAATATGTAGAAACATAAAACTAGAAGCATATTTTTTCTAGTTTACTAGATTAAATTTGAAGGTTCTAAGGGTCTAAGTATCAAATTTATAAATTCAAAATACATGGGAGATAGTTAATGTAAATGAAATAAAGAATTATAGAATATGATTCTTATAGATTTATAATTTAGATAATTTGATACTTTGACCTGTGTTCTTCACACCTTGGATTAGTTCATTTTAGTTTACATAATGTTTCTATTTCTAATATTGTCCAAGATATAGTTTTTTGCTTAATAACTTTACATGTATACATATATGTATTTGCACACATTCAAACAACATAACACTTAGATTAACGTATTTAAAATAAGATATGAACAGCTTGAATCATTATTCGAAGAGTTTGCAACCAGTCTATAGTTTGGATATCAGGCACTGATTCTGAGGTTTAAGAACCTTGGCCAAAAACATCCATTCATGGAAACTCAATTAATACGATACATGAGAACATAGTGATAGTTGCGGTTTCATAATGTATAATTTGTGTATCTTGATATGCATGTATCGCAGTTCTGTGTGTGTATGTTCATTGTATATATGTATATAGTATATATGTACGTATCATATTCAAATAGATCTATATAAGTATAAAGTATTTATAATCAGGCATTAGAACCGCAATCGGTATCAAACCATTCTATATAATTATTCAGAAGTTTTCATTTTGTACGCGTCATAGGAGCTGAAAGTGATTAATTCTCAGCACGAGATATGGATTAAGCCACATAAATATCTGTTTTTAACCTACTTAAATTTTGTTATACGATTACATGAAACGTTTATAATTATTGTCTTTATATAGTTTTGATCCTTAAGCACTTAACATTGCTGCATCACTTTTAATAAGTAAATATACAAAAAATCTGCCTCTGAAAATTATTTTCTTTTAACTTAATCTCTTGTTAGCCAAGAATAGTGTTCATGTTCATACAGTTTCTATTTTTTCATTTATTCGAAATTCAAACACCTTTATTTAAACTGTCACAGCAAAACTGTTCAGTCGGATACCCACTACTGAAATTATCTTTCAACGTCAAGTTCTATGAATTCTATACGTCACGACTCATGATTGAGTACGACTTCAGTTGAATTCAGTTGACTTCTAGCATTCAAAATTAACGGATAACCAATTGAGTGCTTAAGGATCGTAAATTAAATCGCTCGTACGCATAATCGATGTATATGTATACATATATACAGTGGGTCAAAAAAGTTTATGCACACACAGTTTTTTGAAAATGACTGCCCGCAAAGAAACGCTATATTAGTACAAATTTACATATTTTAGTGTTTCATTATGCATAGAAACAATATACCGTCGAAGCACATTTTAGATCACAATAAATTGTATTTTTGTATTTAAGTTAGTAATATTGTAAAGAGTAATCTGTAATGCTAATGTGGTTTTCAAATTCATTCAAGTGCCCCCGGGCGCCAAATTTCCTCGCTACACCTCTGATATATAAATACTATATTGACTATGAAATTTCAGTATTTATTATATTCTTTTTGAAAGATAAATTGTTAATGTTCAAAGTTGACATATTGTTCCCGACACACTAATATATGTACATTCAGGGCCGACGTGACCTTTTGCGGGGGCGGGTTCAAAAATATTGCGGGGACTGAATTCACATTCAAATCCTGCACTTGAATTTTACAACGAGGAATTATTTATTTACAAATGCTATATATTTTTTATAAGATGAATATTAAACAATAGTACTTTGATGATTTTTGTCACTCCTTTCGATTTAATCATCGCTACTGAAAAAATGTCTTGCATCTCAGCAAAAATTGCTTCCATTTGTTAATGGTATCATCAGTCTGTAAAAAGTTAATCAAAATCGATACCTTTTAATTGAGTAATTTTCGTAGACCGCGGGGCCTTTTAAAACGCGGAGCCGGGTTCCGGCGAACGCGCTGAACCTGCGTCGGCCCTGTACATTGTATACCAATATATTATTTCTTTACATGCGGTTATCTTTGAAAATCTGGAGTCGCAAATGCTCTTTCGACCCATTGCACGAGGAAACGAGACGCGAGCGGTGCGTTTTCGTCTTTCTTAACGGAATCAATCCTTACGTACAAATTTTTCCTTCTTTAAACGTATCATTACTTATTATCAAACTATTTAAAAGTATTTCGTCAACGTACATATCGTAAACTTTGAAATCGAAATCGCATCCGCTTCGATTGCACGTACGGGCTACAAGAATATCTTTTAAGATTAATTATTGTCATTCGTATAGTTCCGTTGATTATGCCTCGTAGTCTCTTAATTTACGTAAATATATATTGTCAAAATCTTCAAAATATTAGTCTTTCTATTTTATTGTCCAAGTTCAAACAAGGCGGAGAAAACCCGGGCGTATTGCATAAATTCGCGAAATTTTCCCTTCGATTTTTAATAGTATCGGTTTCGATATTCTACTCTCGAATTCTGATCTCTTTCTGTAATAATACAGTTTAAGCGTTTCACTTTGAAAAGAACAGAATCAGAACTTGACAGAATAAAAGCGTCATGAATGGCGTACACAGATGATACGTGAACTATTGTTTCAACGGACAACCAGCTCAATCCTTCGACAATTGTCTGGAGCAGGCATGATATTCTGTTACATTATTCTAATATAATTGCAAGCAACTGATATAATGGTTCAGTTTAAATAACTGATTTCACATTAGTTACTGCATTCGCAGCTGTTAGTACTCATTATTTTTAACACAGTTATAGCGATCCGCTACACTGGATATGATTGAGTAGAGCTGGGTAAAATTAAATATGGATACTACCTAAAATGTATTACGCAATTATTTAGAGATTTATAATTTTCAATAATTAACACGTTGTCCATTGTCCTATTTAAAAAACAGTTTACAACTTATTATTAATCTCGGCTGATATTAATTTGTGTACACTGTTAGTGGGTATATCAAAAGCTTTATCTATTTTCTCAAATTACGGTGCATTGAAGATAGACAACCAACAACCCAGATAATAGGCTCTTGTAGGTAGACGTTAGAATTAAAAAGTAGAAAAAGCGTTAACTATTTTTTGTAATCCGACATTATTGATATGAATATAACAATACTTATCCAGGTAGTAGCAATTTTGTCCACATTTGTTTTAGCTATAATTTCTTGAATTTGAACATTTTTAAAACGTTTGTTTTGCTTTATTTAATAGTCGAGGATGTAAAAAGCTGATGGGTCCCATGTGTTTGTGAACGAAGTGGAATTTCTCATTTTTCGTAGCTTGTTTTCTTGCGTTCTTTTGAAAATTTTACTATTTCCGTTTTATTGATAATTTTGCTGTTTTTTTTTGGTCTTATTGAAGGTTTTGTTCTGTATATATTAAAAATATTTTAGTTTCGTTTCTTATTAAAAATATTGTCATTTTTATGTTAAAAGTTCTGTTGCTTTTCTTATTAAAAAATCAATTGTTTTTTTCTTTCTTGACGAAAGTTTCATTGTTGCTTTTCTGGTGTTTTGTTTGTTTTTCCCCTTAATTGAATGTTTTGTCGATTGAATTTGAAATTTGGTATTTTGTTTGACACCAACCACCTCCCTACAGCCTCGATTATAAAATAAAGTAGAAATGTTCAAAATTGTAAATATTATGACCAACAGAAAACAGGGAAAACGTTTGTTTACACACCATGTGTTTTGCTCTTGTTTGTTTCTCAAGTGGAACTGTGTACTTTTTCTATGGCAAATTCTTCTTATCACTCAGGATAGAAGTATTACGAACGAGATCATCGAGAATTATATTTTGTAGTTTAGAGAGTACCCATATTCGCCTTTACTCGGTCTATTCAGAACATATCCGGTTGCAACTCCTTTGATAATTCTTTCAAACACAATAATTTCATGAAAAAATATATATATATATATACATATATCTCATTCTTAACGAAGTTGCACGCAGGAGTTGTATAATAAAATATTTATAAAGAACACAGTATGACTTAACGATCGTTAAAGGGTCATCATTTCACAATTTTTTCTATTCTTGCCCGTGTCTTCCCCGCTCAGCGGTGCCAAAAGGAGTTTACGTCACCGTCGTTGACATTTCTCGAAAATAGTATTAACCCTCAGAGGTCCAAGTTTTTAACTGCTTATTATAAACTGCTAATTCCGACTTTTGTTTACAAACAGGAATTACGTTGCTGATCGATCGTAAATTGCCTTCGTTTATATTAAATAATGCAACTTTAGTCAATATGTTTATTTTCGGAAAGTTTTGCAATAGCAAACGAATTGTCAGGAATTCTGCGTAGAATAAATTCCGCGAATCTGAATTCCGCGAAACATGTCACCACCGTCAACGATCTACGATCAAATTGGGGAGAAACTCCCTTGTGAATTTCTGATTTCGTTCGCTCGGAATATTTCCGTCGAGTTCACGTTCGTCGCGAGAAATGTAAGAAATGTATATCTTTCAAAGACAGAAATATCCATTTTTTGGTTATATATTACAATTATTGTCCACGTGCCTAGGAGAAGTATAGTACTCGAATCGCAACGTCAAACTTTGCCTGCGATCGGAAGGAATTCTCGGACCGCCAAGGGTTAAGCGTACACATTTGAAAGATATTATGCGTGAGCGTGTTCTTGCGAACGCGCTCGCCGCAATTAAATCCTGTACGAGCTCGAACGAATTAAGAAAATATACATGCGCGACATTACCGCAGCGCAAGCGATAACGCGCAGCGATTCGTCTCGATCCGTTCCATTTATTGACATTTTTTTCATTTGGTCGGACACAGATGAAAATTAGAGGAATCGAGAGTTGTCGGGAGATCGGAGGTCCCCGTTTCGAGTGGCAAGATAACGGAAGGAACGAGTAATTTGCGGGAACGATCTAGACTCGGCGAAAGCGGAACTCCTTTGGTGGATGATACTCACTGATGGAAACGCAAGAAGCCGATCCACGCAGATTTCACGATGCCAGAGATTTCAAGAGAAAACGATGCGAGTCCTTTGCGATCCTGCCGTGTGTGGACGTAGCGGAGATACGTGTACACCAATTTGTTGTTTGAGTACTAACGCAACATATATTCCCGGGACTGTGGTCCGCTCCTCTAGAACAGAACATACATGTTATACTACTTGTAAGATACATGACGCTTTCGTGGTCTTGTCCTTTATGGTTGATAAATGATTGATGTCCTTTGGATAATGACACTGTTCAACTTTGCGCTTCTAACGAGACATTACTGTGTTACACTCTCGGACAAAAAGATGGCACATGGGTGGTATTTCCATATTTTAAATGGTGCGTTCATAGTTTCCTTAATGTTATAGATTGAATGTAAACAGCACGTCTTGCGAGCGTAGTAAACAAAGGCCGAAGCTGGAAGTACTTGTGTTTATTTCAGTTTCTCGGAATATGCTATAAAAGAAGGGGGGCGAAAAGATACCACGCTTAGAATTTTCATAACAATTACTAGCGTTTGTCAAACTTTCTGTAAGGCTTCTTAGACGATAGAAAAGATAGCACGCTTAGAATGTTCATAACAATTATTAGTGTTTGTCAAACTTTCTGTGAGGCTTCTTA